TATTTTTCTTACCTGTAATAAGTATTTTAATAAAAGCAGGAGAACAATTGCTTGACCCATAAAGAAATGTTATATTCCCAGTGCCTGTGTTCAAATTACAACAGCTTTAAAACAAACTTGTGCTCAGGCACTTAAGAATAAGAGAAAACTGACACCCACTCCTGCCTGACATGGTTGCAGCTGCAGCCAATGGCCAGCCCTTGGCTTGGCTCTGCTCTCCCTGCCCCTTCCCCCGCCTGACACAGACCTTTCAGTATCCACAAAGGGATGTTGCTCTTTACTGTCTCAGTGAAAGCTGAAGGTGTATGTTATTCGTCAGCCAACAAAAAACTCTCAGAGACAAAAATGTCAGGTTGTTCTTTTTTTTTCTTTTTTCTTTTTTTTTTTTCTTTTTTTTTTTAACTACTGGTTCAAGGATTAAAATCCATCTAAACCCACAGAAGTCCTCACGTCTTCTTAAAACTACTTTACACAGTACATATTTCTAGCAAGCTGTGTCTTGGTCAATGCTAAAAATAAGGCTGTAAGCCTTAAAACTGTTTTCAAAGAAATGCCAGGCAGCCCTGGAGAACTTTCCATCAACATGCTTCTAGAGTATCCTGGAAGAACTGATATAAACATTATGAATTTGTGACAATTTCTGTTAAAAATTGGTCATCAAAAGACAGGTGCATGGTAAGATTTCACAGGGAACTGCATGAGCAGGTGTGGAACTGCATACGGAACACATAAGCTCCTGCTTCATGAAACAGATCTCCTCCCTCACACAAACCCAACCTGTTTGCTGGAGGTCTCCTTCAACATCCAGTCAGTAATGCATCAAAGAGCTATCTCTGAAACGTCACCAAGTTGTGAGCATTTGTGGCAAAAAAAATAAAACACCAGCTTCCAGATCCCCTTCAGGTCCCCTCAGACTCAGCTGGGACGTTGCAGAGGCTCACACCTGACACTGGCCACTTGCTTCCTGCTCTCCGCTGTGCGGCTCTGCTGCCCAGATTCCACCTGTCTGAAGGGAAGCAATGGCGTCCATCCCAATGATCTGGGCAAGGCCACACCTCGGCGGCATGGAAAGCCCAACACTACATGCAACTTGCCAAAAGTCAGGATTGTGTGAATGCTAAGGGGTTTCTCAATATTGGAAGAGTATCATGTACTGCCAGCGGGTGTTCCTCAGCTCTCCCTCCATGCTGCAGCTGTACGTTTGAGGCTTCATAAATAAACGTGTGTGAGGTGCAATACTTGCTCCCAGGGTTCTCGCTGTGGTTTTCTTGGAGAAAATACTTCCCAACAAAACATTACAGAGTTTCAGAGTATGTCTGTGGAAAGTATTAGTAGCAAATACAATCAAAGCAACTTTGCTAAATTAATGCATTTAATCTTTCCAATTGGTTAGACTTACAGAAAATTTTAACTAGATTGTTTGAAAAGGGATGCAATGGGACCAGTTAGGAATAAAGGTGGTCTCAGAATCTACGCATTTCTGCTCAATTCAATACTGGCTTCCTACATCATCCTGTCTGTGAAACACGGAGGTTAGTGCCAGAAGAGAAATAGACATTATTTATTTCCCAAAATCTGCAAGAGCAGACAAAAGCTCAGACAAAAGCCTTTGATCAAATTTGAAGTAATGAATCACACAGTCATCCAGTCATAGAGTCATAGGATTGCCAGGCTGGAAGGGACCTCAAGGATCATGAAGATGCAACCCCCCTGATGCATGCAGAACCACCAACCTCTACACTTAATACTAGACCAGGCTGCCCAGGACTCCATCCAGTCTGGCCTTGAACACCTCTAGGGACAGGGCATCCACAACGTCTCTGGGCAGCCTGTTCCAGTGCATCACCATTCTCTTGGTAAAAAACTTCCCCCTGGTATCCAACCTAGATCTTCCCTCCTTCAGTTTAAAACCATTTCCCCTTATTCTGCCATTATCTACCCTTGTAAAAGATTGACTCCTCTCTTGTTTGTAGGCTGAATCTGGAGGTAAACTTCTTGCAGTGCCCCCTGTCATTCTGAACTCAATGCTTTTAAAAGAAAACTATCTGTCTACTCTGCTCTTTGAAATTGAATCAATATAATAGGATGATAGATATCATTTATTTCCAAACTAAATGGTCACAGAATACATTAAAAATAGCATAATTGTGTGCATATAGCACAACTACCCTTCTGGCAGTTACAAAGGGTTGAAATGACAAGGCATGTTGGGACAGCAGAGTAAGGCACGCAGCAGGTCATGCACAGAATGCTTTCCAATTCTTTGCATCTTCTTCTGGAAGTGTGGGAGTCAGAGAAAGGTATGCATTCCCAGTTTTGCTTGTAGGGGAGTAGAAATTATTCAAGTCTTATTTAAGAAGGGGTGGAAGGGAGGGAACTCTGAGGATATTAAAGCTCTTTTAGTCAATAATAAACGATCTAATTAATTGCGGAGTGAAACTAGATTATGTTTGAGTTGTATCAGCTGTTAAAACCAGTTCACAACGTGCCCGCACAAAACAAGTCATGCATAATTCCTGTGTGGGAGACTGAGGTAGGAATGCAGAGTTGGAAACAGGGAAATTTTGATATAACCGTTTAGTTGTGCCTACATTTATATTTAAGTTACAGGCTGAGAAGGTATCTGCAGGCATTCCAATCTGATGTCGGTTTCAAAGGCTGCAAGGGTTAATTCATGTTGTGTTATGTAAAATATACCACATTAGGCAAATTTCACTTTTTTGGAGATCATGTGGGTGGATGACTGTCCAGAAAATAGGCATTTATTCTCTGACAAGGCCAAATACATCTGAATCTGAAGTTTAGCTGTAAAAGGCAGCCTTAGACTCTATTCAGCTCCACCAAAGTCATAAAGGTTTTGCTTTATGCTTCAGGGAGGATTGTGACCCAACTGCTATTGATCTTCTAAAAAATAAAATGGTTAAGCGGGAAAAATCTTTTAATATCATTTTTCTTTGATATCATTGAGTTAAATTTAACTTTACCTGTTTTTAATTCTAGGTTAATCTAAGATTCTATACTATTGTTCATCCTTAGTGATACAGGTAAATGAAACACATCAACTTATGTTTATCAATTTATCTTTAATTACAAATATGATTCTAAAGCTAACAAAAGCACACTGTTTATAGAAAGCAGTGTTTAATCAAATTACAGCAATTGTTTGGTCATTGTGTCTAAAAGTGACATCTTGTAGGAGCTTTCTTCATTCCATTTTCAAATGCTATATTCATTAAGAAGTTTTGGGGCAGTCTTTCTTGAAGTAAACAGAGGATTCCTATCTCCATTTTAATAAATCAAAAAGTTCCAGGAGTTTGTAAAATTTGTTGTATGAGTACAGAAATTTAACAGCTATGACAATTATTTATTTTCCATTTCTGTCCTCTATGAAAACTTTCTGTACGCAAATTCCTACAGAAATGTCAAAAAGGTTTTGGTTCCAGACCTTAGTATACAATATCTTGACATATCTGCCATCAAGTCATACAAAGTGCAAATAAAGCATATACTTTCAAAAAACAAAAACAAAAAAACGATCACTAGTAGATCACTGTACCTTTCTAATTCCTAAACATTTTACTGACAATTCAATGGATTATTCTTTCATTTTTAAACCAGGTCACTATTTTTAATGAGATGGATGAGTACACTGAGTCTTGTTAGTAAAGACTGATTTCAGTGCATATATACTGTTTTTTTCATAAGCAATCAAACTGTAGATAGCAAAAGTCTGAAGATTTTTCACACAAAATTGCAAAATAGCCTTAGATTTCAATGTTGTTGTATTTCTTATTTTTCACTGTATAAAACAATGTAATAATCTAATCTTTCTGTAAGTAGATGATGACAGCCTGAAATAAAAACAGTTCACAAAAAGTTCTCAAAGTTTTAATCAAGAAATATAATTCTGAAATCATTTACGTATTAAGGACCATACTGAACCCACTGTGGTCAATGGCCAGACTCCTCTGTCATCATTTAAGCCATGATCCATTCAGTGACTTTATGAAGCAAAGTAGTCTTCCAAAGACAAGCCTAAAATTGTGTTCTTAGCTTTTACGATAAGATGACATGGTATTTTTGTTAAAAGTGAAAGCATGTTCAGTTTAAGGTGCTGAATCATGGAGACTCACAATCTGAATGAATGGTAATAGCACATTTAGGCTCTTCAAAAGATACTTCACATGGAGGCTTTTCTTCCTGTACACAAAAATAAATCCTAGATTCAGTCAGTAGTCCAAATTTCTATACTTAAAAGAAAGCAATGGTTATTGGACACAAAATTTCAAACTGTCAAACAAAGGAGGAAACACATTATGAAAAATTAAAACGTGCAGTCTCCTTCTTTTAAAAATAAATATGTATATACATAGAACTTTATTCTATATTTAGGAAGCAGACAGTCAATATCTTATTTGAAAAAAATGATAAAAAAAGAAATTTCTTCTTATCAGAAAGAGCTTTGTTTGTAATAAAGACAGAAATGTTTGAACACTTCAACCCTTACTTAGTCAAGCTTAGCATTTTTACTATTCGCCAAAATTAAATAAATGGCAATGATTTAAAGACATTATTACTCTAGAAATAAAACTACTTATAGACCATAGTTGTTTTGTGTCTTGTGACTTCTAGCTTAAGCAGAGTCCAGTCACTGTCAACAGTTTAACAGACAAAAGACAGATCTTTCAGCAAGACAAAAAAATGTTTGCATTGAATGTTTTTTTCATATTTTTTAATACATTAATTCAGTCATTCTCAAAAGCACTATATGCATCTTCTGCTTTTGAATATTAGTTCTGATGATGGTCCTCAACAGAAAATCCAACCACTGAAAGAAGTGACAGAAACACTTACAAATTCTGAAATTTAACAAATAAGTACAAGTTGAAATCACAAAACAAAGACATCAACAGCTCATCAGAAAGCTGTTGAAAAGTAAATGACACCTAAATTACACCTTGTAAAAAAGGTTTTATATGTTTATTTTTATACATGCTGATACTTAAAAATGAAATTTGAAAAACAACGTAATCTCTACTTAATTTCAGAAAAGTTACATTATAAAGCATCATTGATATCGTATTTTTTGTAGAGTACTACATCCATCCAAGGTCAGAAAATACGCTCTGCTGAAAGGAAAGTCATTTCAGTTCTTCAGACAAAATCATGTTCACAGTAATGTTCAGTTCCATTGGCATGAACAGTCTACAGGCTCTTGAATGACATACATAATCTCAGTGCCGTTTCCTGAGCAGTGTAGAGGCACAGTCAGATTGCGCGTTCCATGTTCTCGACAACATTTACAGAATCTTAAATGACTATCAATATTGACATTGAAAATTGTTGCAGATGGGCATTTTCCATCACAAGAAGCCACATTTATCTACGAATAAATAAAGAATTGGAATTAGACATCTTAGGATTTGTTTCAGGATGTAACATTCCAAACTTCTTTCTGATTAAGATCGATTTTTACATTTGAAAAGAACTCTGATCTTAAAAGTTAACTTTTAAAATTCATTCAAATGGAGATACATTTTTTAAGAACAGTTTATGTGAAATCATCTGTTTTTCGTTATTTAATCATGCACTCTTTCTTAGCTTGGAGCAAGCTCAACTTTGTGCTGTGGATAACAAAGCTGAATCCTTACTTTACTGATGAATAACATCAAAACATTGTAGCTAAATTAACATTCATTTCATGTTCACTGCTGAAAAGTTATATTCTTCTAAGGAAAACAAAGGATAATCTGTCACTCTCTTTTAAGGTTCAAGAGGAAAAGTGTAATAGTGCAAAAGCATTTTCCTTTTGTACTCATAGTGCTTGCGACTAAGGGTACAACATAAGTTGTGTCATCACTGTAACAAATACATCCAGAAAGTAGATGTAACAATCCAGCAAGGGAAGAAGTTGGCTATAAAATTATTTGTGCACTACACTAAAGCAGGCACAAGCTTTCTCTCATACAACATTATGTGAAGTCTTCCTAGCCAATACTGTAGCAGAAATTGGTAGATTGGCAGTTTTCATTAGAACTTCAACAAATGTTGATATGCTAGGAAATCAGAAGTGATTATACTAGACCTAGGTTTTTTTTTTGTGACATTGTTTTAATTTAATTTCTTATGCAAATGAAGCCTATGAAATGTACTCTCTGATGCACTCTCTTCAAGCAGCACTTCAACAGAAGGGCCATATCCAAAGAAATTAGGTCAACAGGTTAGTCTTATAGCTTTCATCAAACTTGAGAGCAGAAAAATAACTTCTTTAGATCTTGTCCTAGTCATTAACAATCTCTCTCACTATACTCCCTCAATATTTACTGTTCTAAAACTAAATAAATACAGCACACACTCTTATTACTGTAGTGAAGCCTTATCTATGTTTTCCTTCTATCAGGCTGGAAATCAACCTGCCCAGCTTTCAATCTGTGACTGTGTTGCCTCTCCTATTAAGACTATTAAGGTTTTTCAGTAAAATCTCATTGCAGGCCTTTCAGAAGTCCCAAGACATTGTGTCAACTGCTTCTCTTTTAAGTGTTACATTCTTATCAGACCAGTCCTGGGTTTTATAGACAGAAATAAATCAAAGTTGAAAAATAAGATGCCTTAAATAGATAACAAAGTAAAGGGAACTGTGAGTTTATGATACGGAGACATGCAATGTGGAGGAGATGACACCCAGAGAGTAAAGTTCTTTAAGTTCTTTAAGGGGGAGTGTAGCCCATTTACCATCACATTGTAATGGGACACATTTCTAATACTCTTTTAGAATGGGATGTTATTTCATGGGGAAGAGTTTAGTGTACTTGTGCAAATACTCTGTGTACTTTTCATTTGAAGCCAGGTAGGAGGGCTCACTCTTCCAGCCACAGTAACAGCTGATTTAATTCCTTTTACAAGTAGAATAACATTCATCAGGTCAAAGGCCAGCTTTTGAGAAGACAGCAACATTTTTTGTTGCTTGTAGATAACTATGGCCTACTTCTTGATACTTGACTTGATCATGGTGTAGGACCAGCATGAAAAATGTTTTTTTAATTCTTACCGGGCTTTGACTTATACAGTCATTTTTCCTTATAGTTGTCCTGATTGTCATTTTCTGGCAAATCCTTTCTTCCTTTTTGCCTGATAAAATATGGAAAAAGATGCATGTTGAACTGATTTGCATTTGTACCAATTTTTTTTATAATAAAAGCATGAAAATATTCAAATAATTTTAATGATTATGCACTATTTTTATTTATGTACATACTGATACTACTATTTCCTTATGTAATTAAAAATATATATATATCCTCATATGTTAATAAAAATTCCTGTGGGGAATTATCAATTTTATAGCTGGCACATGAAGTATCAACTGGTGCATTAAGCTATACAGATTTTATAAATATGAAAACAGTAATAAGATTTAAAATTGCTCATATAGCAAGCATTATAGTAATTAGGAGAAAGATAAATTTTGAATAATGTTAGAATTAACTCTGTTTTTAATGGGAATACTGAAATTATGATTTTGATACTACGCTTCCTTGAACTTGACATTTGAGAAGATAAAGCTGTGAATGAGATTACCGCTTTGATGCTAATTTGAATGCTTAGAATTTAAACAGAACAATAAAATTCAATATTCTTTGGAGAAATAGATCCTTGAAGAAAGCTTTGAAAGTGAGAGATGAAAATACTTGCTACATGCTACATGCTTTTACTACCCAGGACTGAATTATGTAGCATTTATAGGATATAGGTTTATGAAAATACTACATTTTCAGTACATCCTGGGAGATACTGATAGGAGATCTTTTCTGTTGTTTGAAAAAAGAAGCTGTACAGTGCAAATCCATATTTAAAATAATAATATATTAAATAATAATAATAGAGTATTAAAATATAATAATATAATACTGAAATAAATATAAAGTCTTCCATGCTGCAGTCCCTACCAGACTATTTAGTATTGATATCTATGTAATAGAAATTGTTTTGATCTCAAATTCCAGTAACCATCAAAATCATCTATATTCTGGGCATCCAGCCTGCAGAAGAATAACCACTGTTCAATAGGGCCTCTCCACTATCAGCACATGCCTGCATGGTCAGTTGAACAAATAAAGGACAACTTTTCTCTCCTCCAGAATCCTTTTGTGAATTTTTATAAGATTAGTTGAGCTCTGAGTAACCAAGATATTCAACCAGATTTTAATCTGAACATTGCAGGATCAAACTGGATTCTCCTGTGAAACTAGAAGATGATGACACATGCATTATTTTGATTCTCTTTCCTCAGCAGCACTTGACAAAAAAAAATTCCCATTATTCCTTTCCATTGGAAAGCATTTGCCAGCATAAATGTGCATAGATGATAAGATCCTTGTACTTCTACAAGTCATAGAGAGATAAATCTGGAACATCTCTCCTACAGAGAAAGGCTGAGGGAGCTTTTTCAGCTCGCAGAAAAGAAGGCTCTGGGGAGACCTTTATGTGGTTCTCTTGTACTGGAAAGAGAGCTTGTAAGCAGGATTGGGAATGACTTTACATGATCTAATAATGATAGGACAAGGGGAAATGGTTTTAAGCAAAAAGAAGGGAGATTTAGATTAGACATTAGGAAGAAATTTTTTCTCAGAGGGTGGTGAGGTGCTGGCAGAGGCTGCACAGAGAAGCTTTGGATGCCGCATCCTTGGAGGCATTCAAGGCCAGGCTGGATGAGGCTCTAGGCAGCCTAAGCCAGTGGCTGGCAACCCTCCTCACAGCAGGGGCTTGGAACTAGATGGGCTTTCAGGTCCCTTCCAACGCAAGCCATTCTGTGGTTCTGTGATTCAACATTTTATGACATTTCAGCATATAAGGTACCAGTCTAATGAAAACTTCCCTGCTGCTAAACTTTTCACTCTTCAACTGTCAAAAAGATCTGCACTCAGTTCAGGTGTGCTTGCTTTCTTTGCTCCTTATTTGAGTGAGGGATCCTACTCCACTTACTGCAACTTTTCTATCAATTGAAGGAAAGAAATACTATCATAATGCAACAGTTCTCTAATCACTAAGAATTCCATTTTGAGGAGTATTTATTAACACATGATCATGTTTATGATTGCATGGTTTTTTTCCCCCAACATTTTCATTACTTTGAAAACATTTTATTTGTGACAAGTACAGCATAAATCCATATCTGCAAGGATAAAATCAGACAGGAATGGGCACTTTTGCTATATTTAAAGGCAAGAATAGTTTAGACATTAACTTCAGAGATACGAGATCAGAAAATCTCACGGTAACATTACTTAGGATGACAATATTTTTATCAGTAACATCATTTCTTGTTATAGCTACCCTGTACAGTAAGTTTACGTATTAAAATCACTTTAAGAAATGAACAGGAGGAAGAACCACCCACAGCATATACTGTAAATCAATGAACCTAATCCTGACAGGTGCTGAGCAGTGAACCCTGACCAAGCTTTAGAAAATACTGATCTGAAAGGCAAGCAGGATATCAGCATCTCTCAGTATCAGGCCCAATGCCATTAAATGCATGGTTGCATTTAGTGGTGATGACAGATATATGATATAAACAAGCAGTGCTTACTAAATTACTAAATTAAGAAAATACATTATTAAAAATAATACCTGGTTCACAATTAATACTACCCGTAGGCACTACTGGACTAATGGCAAAGGGTAATAGACCCAATCCAGAACCTGGCAGAACCATTAGGAATATAAGTTTCTCATGAAAAAAAAAAAAACATGTTGATATAAATGACATTTCATTAATTCTTACACTGCCAACTGCAATTTTTCTTTTAGCAAAAGGTGATGAGCTTTCGTGATAGTCCTCCAAATTTAGGAACTGTATAGCTGCTTCAAGTCTCACTAAAGATAGCCTAAACTTTATTACTCTCCTGATAAACATAAAACTGAACACCTCCTTGTAAACCAAACTTTTGCAACTCTCTATGGCAAGGTAAGAATTAAATATATGCAGTCACTTTGCATGCATCGAATCAAGCTCTTCCAGAAAGACTATTTGCTCCCATTAAAACCCCAAGGTGTTGCAAGCTCTATTTATACATACTCTTTTTATTCAGTTCACCACTGGGCACATGCTTTTAGTTAAAACAACAACAACAACAACAAATAGCATATAATTGTATAAATTATATCTTTTTTTAGCAGCCATTTGAGCAAGAATTTCTGAAGTATAACATTTAGCACAATTCTGGTCTGTTAATTTTCTCTATTGATTGTAATTACAAAAAAAAAAAAAGCATTCTGTTTATTAAAAGTGCTTTAATTTTCGATGTTTTGCATATGGTAGATTATAACAATACTTCAAGATCTGTTTCAAGGCTTTGCAAAGCATAGAAACTAGACCATTGATCAATTCTATTTCAGATAAAAATGAATATTAAGTCTTCCTATTCAATATTATTAACTAAAGATTTACTTTAAAAAAAATCCCAAAGACTAATTATTCTGAATGTTCTAATTCTGATGTTAAGCACAGAAAGGTCAAAAGAGGGAGAAAGTAATTTCTCTGGCATTCAACAAGTTCTTGCACTACATAGTTAATTTCATATTTCATATGAATTCATATTCATATTCATATTCATATTAACTTCGTATTACAGAGTTTTCTTTTTAAGTACAGATAATTAGAGAACTTGATCAGAAAACTTTTCCGAGTCAAAACTGAAGAGATAATCAGAGTTCACTTGCAGCTTGCTTTTAAACTTGCATAGGTTATGACAACATTATGCAAACTTGCATTACAGTTCATTAAGCATGTTTTAAGGTGACAGACTCAGAGAAAGCGAATACATTTCCAGATATCAAAAAGTCAATTTTGTATCTAGGGATTTATCTAGGGAACTAGGGATTTATCTAGGGATGTGTCTAGGGAACTTTCATATTATTCAACTCCCCAAAACTTTTCCTCATTTGGGATTTCAATATATATTCTACAGTGGAAAGAAAACATTTCCAATTAAAAATATTTTATTTCAGCATTCAGTTTTATAGTATTCTGATCTGAGAAAATACACTGTGATAAAACAGAATGAATTTGTATTTTTGGACTGTGATAATCAAATTACGAATTTATTTCAGGGAAGAAAGTCCTTATCTTTTATGATGCAAATCATATTGGCAATATTTCACAGTCTACTGAGCAATAAAGGTAATCTTTTCAGTACTTTAATTGATGTAATTTTTCATTTTCCAAAGATTATATTTGGAGAAATTGGTTATACTCCAGAACAATAATGTTAAAAACCACAAAGACAGCAGCCAAACAAAGCAAGAACTTTTAATAAGAGTTGTTAAGTAACTATAATAATTTCATTTGATTTGTGGGGGGAACAGCATGCTTTTCCCTTATCTTTGTCTCAGCGAGGAGTTAAAAAACACAGCCCTCCAAACCAAAGCTACACTAACACTTATTGCAGCCTTCATCACTTACAGGTCTTGCAGCAGCCATCATTGTACGTCTGCACAATTCCTCCATTCTAGGAAAATAAAAGGAGAATATATCAAAAAAGACTGTGCTCAATGCAACAGTGCATAGTACCTCAAGAGATGCCATGTTTTAAAGATGTCCGACAAGTACAAAATGATACAATCTAAATTAAGACAATCACACAGACACTCATCACATGAAGGTCTGGTTCACAGATTCTTCAGTTTTTAACACTGGAAATGAACTTGTCACTATTAATCTTTACCTGATCCGATCTCCTTCAAATAAATCACTTAGTTTCTACACACAGCTCTATATCATCTACTATCATCTATTTTTCCACCACTGAGATTTAGTCAGAAAGTTAATGAAAATCATTGTTGTAACTTTGTGTATGACATTAAAGGATTTACACCACTCATACACCAAGCAGAGAGTGAATTCCTAATAAAGAGCTATTTAGAACATTATATATATATATGTGGGTATTTATACACATATATATATATATACATATATATACACATAAATACAGACTTCTGAAACAGAAGGTGAATTGCAGAATTTCACTCTGTATGAAATGGTATGAAATGTGAAATGGTGAAAATGCTAAATTATTTTTCTTAAATACAATACAATAATATTTTTTTTATTTATTTTTTTTTTTTCCAGAGTTGTTTGTTAGATATTAAAAGTGTAAGCAAGTGAAGAAGATATCCTTTTGACTCAGGAAACTTCCAACCTGTCAGTCTCACCCCTGCATTGTGGAAGAAAATGGAACAGATTCTCCTGGAATCTATACTGAGACACATGAAAGAGAGGGAGGTGATAAGAGACAACCAAGTGCAAGTCTTGCCTGACCATTCTGGTGGCTTTCTGTGACAGTGAACAAGTGAATAGATAGTGAGGACTTCAGTAAGACCTTTGACATGGTCTCCATAATGTCCTTCTCTCCAAATTGGAAATGAATGGACTTGATGGGTGGACTGTTTGATGGATGAGGAACTGGTTGTGAGAGTGTGATCACAGAGTGGTGGTCAGTGGCTGAATGTCCACATGGAGATCAGTAATGAGAGGAGTCTCTCGCCTGTCTGTACTAGGACTAATGCTCTTTAATATCTCCATCAGTTGCATCAACAGTGAGATCAAGTGCACCTTCAACAAGTTTGTAGATGACACCAAGCTGCATGGTGCAGTCAGCATGCCCAAGGGATGGGATGCCATTTGGAGAGACCTAGACCAACTTGAACAGTGAGACCAGGTGAACTTCATGAGGTTCAACAAAAGCTAGTGCAAGGTCTTATATCAGAGTTGCTGCAACCCCCATTATCTGTATAAGCTGAAAGGATGGAGCACAGGCCTGCCAGAGACTTGAGGATACTGGTGTTCAGAGGAGGGCCATAAACTGATTCAAGGGGTGGAACATATCCCCTCTGAAGACAGACAGAGAGCTGAGGCTGTTCAGCCAGAAGAAAAGGCCCCAGAAAGATGATAGTAGCCCTTCAGTATATAAAAGGGGGCTATAAGGAAGAGGAGGACAGAGGTTTTAGCAGGGTCTGCTGAGACAGAACAAGGGAGTATTGTTTAAATCAGAAGAAGGGAGATTTAGATTGGATATAAGGAAGAAGCTTTTTACAATAAGGGTAGTGAAGCACTGGAACAGGTTGCCCAGAGAGGTAGTAGATGCCTCGTCCTTGGAGACATTTAAGGTCAGGTGGATGGGGCTGTGAGTAATTTGATCTAGCTGTATGTGTCCCTGTTCACTGCAGTGCAGTTGGACTAGATGACCTTTAAACATCCCTTCCAACTCAAACGATTGGTATTTACCCTCTCTACATGTTTGTTGATTGTTTTTTGTTTGTTTGTTTATATAGTTTGTATACAGCATGTCACGATTGTAAGAATTAGAATTGTGAGAAGTATTACAAAGTTAGAGAAGTAATAAAACAAAAGTAAAAGTTTTTGAAATGAATTTGTAATGTACACAAAATATCCACATTCTTCAAACCAGCTTATATGGGCATGCAAAATTTTCATTTTTAGATATATGGTATAGGTATAGGTATCCTTTCAAGTATGATAAGCATTTTTTTTAATATTATACAATGTTTTAACGTAAGGGATAATTAAGTTTATATACATAGTCAGCCTTCTAATCCTTGCATTTAAGGAATTTTTAATGTGGTTCACATTTATAAGATTTCCAAACTGGTTCATCTGATTTATTTAATATATATGTACATCTTGTCAAAATATTATTCTGAAGTGAAGTAGTACATAGTGATTAGCACTTAATACAGCAATATCTCAAGTAGAATTCCAATTCAACAATATTTTTAAATGCAGTCAATATTGAAGCCTGAAAATAGTTTTTGCACTCTCAGATACTGTTAGCCAAAATGCAAACAGAAAACTAGAAAACAAGACTAAAAATTTATCACTTACATCTTCTTACTTACCACTTTTTTTAAGCTTAAAGAAAGCACACAAAGTATGTGTGCCCTTTCAAGTGCGTCCATACTGACAGACGAGTTATTGTTACTCACCTCAGCCAAAGTACAAACCTTTGTGCACTCAGTGTCATTGAAAGGGGGACAGACCACACCAGAGCCCACTATCATAGCCCCCAGCACAGTCTTTGCACATGTGTAGTTTGTGCAGTTGTATGTCCAGGTGCTGCCTTCCTAAATGCATAATACAAAACCATTGTCAGCAAAGACAACACAGTTCATCTGTATCTCTACTCAAGTGTCTGTAAAAGTGATGCCTATGTGCTGCAGGTATGTGCTAGAGTGTAAGGTTTGTTGAAACCTGTCCACACTAGTTGAGGGAAAGCCATCCTGTAACTGCAGCAATGGCTCCTATATGGAGATACTAAGTGTACTAGAGTGGATCTGCATCAGAAAAAGGGCTTACGCTTTATTTTGCCCTCAAACCTCTAAAATCAATGACAAGGATGAAGCAAGGTATGGCAACACCTAAATTTCACTGTATGTGGTTGCTGGAGTGCACCATCAGGATCCTGAATCCCAGCCATTCAGTTTGAACACTTGCTTGTAAAAATCACAGCAGGGAGAAGAGGCGCTATGGGAAGAGAGGAACACAGGAGTCCTGATGTGGATCCAGAAGCACAAAAGTATTCCCAGGTCATCTAAATCACAGCATATGACTTAAAGCTACAATTAGATCTCTGTTTTGCACTTATCTGGACTTAAACAAATGCTGACATTCACCCATCTTTGTGGAAGATAATTACAACCAATAAATTGAAACATGGTATTCATCTACTGTGAAATGGCAAGTCTAAAAATAAATACACCTTTTCCCTATTACGTAATTTACCACAGACAGCTTCCAGTTGCATAAGCAACACTAAGGAAGTTTGAAGCAAGACTCACATAAGGAAGTGACAGTCAGATTCCTGTGTTTATCGTATTATTATACTTATTTTCTGTCCCTCTCCAGAGGTATTTACCTCATACACAATTTGTGTGCCATTCTCAGTAAGAACAGAACAGGACACATTTTGACAGGTACCACAGCAAGTATGGTGACTGGAAGAAGGAATATACAACTGATGCTGAAAGAAAAGGAAAACCAAAAAAGAAAAAAAAAGAGGTTGCTTTAAATATACACATATATATATGTTTATATATATATAAAATATGAAAATTCATTGAATTCTGAAAATAACTACACCTAAATGAACAATGTATGGATGGATATATTTATATTCACTGCTAAAAAACACTTAAAAGATGCTGTTAAGTTTTTTAGCTCTTGCTGAGCAAACTGGACTAGCAAAAATGTGCCTTTTGATTTTCATCTTAATTGTGAAGTTTTATTTATTTAACTGCATAATTCCTCTGTTTTAAGAATACTTACTGCTTCACATTGCTGGGAACAGTTCACTGTTGTAAAATGCATGGCATTGTATCCTGTGTTGTGATCTTTTTCTTGTAAACACTGCACAGTGTAACAAAGGTCTCCATCCAAGTACTGAATCACTGATTGTCCAGGATTCAGTACAGTTACCTCTTGGAAGATGCACACATCATCCTTCTCTAACACCAAAAAGAAAAAAAATACTATGAAAGAAATAAAACATCACCAAACAAAGTAACAGAAAAGCTGCAAGAACAGAAGTAAGGAATTGTTCTACATGCTGCAAAAACCTTTCAAGTTTTAGACTTGATCGGTGTGTGGTGTAAATTACCAAACAGGAAAAGAACGTGAGGGTGTAATTCAGCTCAAGGAAATGCTAAAAAAATGCCTATCTGCCTAAAATTGATAATGTTTCTTCTATGGAAGTTAAAAAACAAAACAAAAAAAAAAGGTTGCTTTTATTTTTTACAGTTACGATATTTAAAATCAGACCACTTACATTACATGAGTTATTCTGCAATATTTTTCTGTCTTTCTGTCCATTAAGATAGTATTCCTACAATTAATTGTGAGACATTATTATGTTCAAGCCATTGTGTAAATCTGCGTTTTGTTCCTAGAGGCAGTTTAGCCTGAGCTACAGCTGGCACTGAGGAATGCCTCACACACTTTTGAGCACTGTGTGGGTGAAATCCCCTCCACACAAGGTGGCTGAGTTATGGAAAGGAGCAATTTTAAAATTGGGCACATGCCCTCATGCTGGCTTATTGAGATCAGTAGCGCACATGGATGGATGGATTCATAAATATATAGATTGATTGATAGATAAATAGCATGGACACTGTAAATACCTTCCTATGCCTCACACTGTAAGCCACAAAACTGATGAGTTAGTAGAGAAAGCGTAATTCAAAAACGAGAGTATAATTATTTATCTATGTAGATTGTTTACATTTGAGGTGATAATGGCCCTATTTTGGTTTTCTTTGCATGCCTTTTTTAGTTTAATCTAAAACCAAGCAGATATGAATAATAAAAAGTTACCACAAATGTAGTGAGTGCATCCACAAGCACTGGAAATACTACTATCTACTTTTTGAACTTCTCCCTGAGTATAAAAAGATAAAAAAAGTTTGAAAAGATACACACAGATAAATGTAAAGCCAAGAAGAGAGATTTTCTCCAAAAAAATTAAATTATGGTCTTCATTGCTTCTGCCTCTTCTTCCATGAAAGAGAAAAACTGCAGTGACCTCAAGAAAAAATAGCCCATTTCAAATTAGTCAGTGTATTTATCTTTTTAAACAAGAGCAGAGGACATCTGTTTAACCAGCAGAATGGCTAAACAGCAGGTTTTTTTCTGAGATACAAATTTATTTCAATAATAAGTATATCAGGAAAGGAATGCCTGCTCTAAACTTTCTTCCAAAAGAGAGGTAAAACTGTTAAAATCTGTAGCTCATATATATGTTACATTATGCAATCTTCACATACAGGGAAGTATAAACTACTAGCATTTGATAGGGACACTGTCCCTTGTCACTACAGTAATAGTAGGAGTTTGAACATTGATTTGTAATTATTTTCCAGATCACAGTCCCAATCGTGAGAGTCTAGAAAGAACAAAATATTTATGACTTCTCATACCTGCTATATTCAATAATGCTAAATCATTCTAACTGAAAGTATAAATGATTAACAAATAACGCATTTGTCCAAATTCACATTTGATCAAAAATTTCATCCCTTATTAATTATTAAAAACACTTATGAATTGTTGAAGTGGGGAAAATTCCAGCATATTGGTTTGAGTCAACTTTGAGCTGAATAGCATTACAGTTACTTTTCTTCTTTTGTCATCCTAAAACACACAGATTGAAATTTCCACAAGGAACATCAAACAACACTGTGCAGAAACCTGGAGTTTCATGCCATGCAGCTTCATGCCTGAGTTGGGGGCTGGTGGGCCCCCTTACAACTAATTTAACGAAGAATGGAAAAGGAGGAGTTAGAACACAGCCCACCATTCAAAATGCATTTAAAGGACAGCTCTTACCAATTTGCATGTCATCGTAGTAGCATTTTCACAACTACATTCTGAGAACAAGAAAAGCATGTTAGTCAATTAGCTAATTGCTGGTTTTTATTAACAGCAGTGACTAAAGAATGAAGTAATTACCACAGTGCCATTCTGGACAACACTTCCCAGGTATTTTTTCCTTCACAAGTGTCATGTCATCTGTGCAATTCATAGGAGGCTCAGGACAAAAACTTTCATCACAAACTAAATAGGGAGGAAAAACAGATATCAGAATTTACTTAAATTTCATCTGAACTTTCCAGCTTATATTTCTTCTAATAAACCATTGCAAAAATAAGGACATTTTTTAGATCTATTTTTTTGCTTGTGTGTCTTAAGTATCTCAGTCATATTTGGAACTGAAACATAATCAAAGATTTTCAAAAATGTCTCCAGTTGCCTTAGAGAAGTTTTAAATTTAGAGAAACCATTATGGAGCAACCATTTAATACTCTTTCTTTGAAGTGACTTGGGCTAATAACAAGCACCAAAGACAAATAAAGTCACACCTTTTATAAAAACAGAATTATTTTTTTTCTCTAAGCTTTGCTGCAAACTTAAACTAAATTTCTGTAATGTAATGGGGAACAGCTTTCCCCCTAGAATGACTTTAATAACTGCACATGCCTGCAACATTGAAGAGATTTATGAAGACTCTGAAAGAAGTCTACATAGTAAGATCTATATTTCTAGCTGTGAGAAATCGGAAAGACAGTGGCAAAAGCCTTTGCATACTTTCACCATCGTGGAAGTACTAGAGAAGGAAAGGACCAGAAGGTGAAACCACCTGAATTAAAAATCAGCAAGCTCCAAACCTACTGGAAGAATCCAAATAAATTGAAATAACCCAGAGACCATACTAGGACAAGAGTTAATTCAGGAACATCCACTGATCTAAATTAAGCAGTTACTGACATTGCTTAAGAACACATAGTAGTATTTGTGTTTGATAAGTCTAGCAAAATGGCTACATTACACTGCAAATATTTTTCTTGGTCTGCTTACTGTTTGAATACTAATCAGACCAGTAGTATTTGAAACTCATGGCCCAGTCCTTCACCTGAAAATCAGCAGTCCAAACACTAATGAAGAGGACAACAGAGGTTTAACACATTTTATTGCAGATGTTTTTAATATATGGATACTTACCAACAGTTGTATATTTATACAGTAAGAATGGGATTCAGACCAGATTAATATATCAGTATCTAGATCTCCATGAAAGTAGCCATGTACTGCTTGGTGAGGTACATAAGCTCTACTGACTGTGCTGGCTAGACTACCAGTGAATGTACCAACAAGTCTAAATCCACCTCAAAAGTAGACACCCTAATTTCGAGTATTTAGTCTCTAGACAAAGTCCACCCTAAATGCTGCACCAAAGAGATGTTCACACACACTCCCCGTCTTTTTTACTAAATTTGGTAACAGACTGTATTAATGTTTACACTCACCACAGTAGTAATGAGGACAACAGTAACGTATGGTATGAAGGTCTACGGTGAGAATTTCCCCTTCATTACACAAGGGAACAGGCTCAATACAGGATTCACAAACTAAATTAAAAATAAACAGTTATTTACAAATTTTAGGAAGTTAGCACACACAAGTTTTCTTTAATATTACAAGTCATGCTTATGTGGGTAACAGATCTTTTATGGACTGACATTCAAAACTACAAATATAACAGTTGTGCATGCTCTTAGGTGTCAGAACTTACACTAATAGTCAGTTTAGTGTTAAAGAACCACTGAGACTCAGCTGCAATGCATGATATATCACTGACTGCATAGATCTTATAATTCAATTGTGAAGAACAGTGTGTTAACAATATTATTTTGCAGAGCAAATATGAAGTTAAAAGTAATGTTGGAAATCTCAGAACACAAGAGTAATTCATGCTCAAGACAGCCTGGCTTGTGTAAACTCCTACTAGCATCAATTCCTGGTTTCAGTTACTGTATTTAAAAATACAGATTGTACTTAACTACTCCTCAGTTACCTACCACAGAGATAAGAGAAACAGCAGGGATCTTCCAGTTTTGCTTCAACAATAAATTGGTCTTCTCTGCAGTCCAGCTGAGAAGAATTGAAACAAACTGAAGGATCACATTCTGTAAGAGATGTATGTATGTTAAGAAGAGTCACAGAAACAATGCTAAAAAGATAAATAAAATATATTCCTACCTTTAGTAAAAAAAAAAAAAAAAATAGTCAAAGAAAGAGAAAAGTCAGACTGTAAACCAGAAGTAACACAAAACACAAATAAAAAAGTATTGAAGAATTTGAAAAAGATATACCATATCCCAGTGTTATTTAGTGTCCCGTTCTGCTGAAAATTGGACCAACTTGTAAAATGAAGTTTCTTACAACATACATTACAAGATTGGAAAGTGTTGAACAAAGTGTTTATTCGTGTTTCCCTTACCGCATCGGTACTGTGGACAGCAGGACAGGGGGCTGTAGTCTACAATCAGTTTTTCACTGCTTTTGCATGTTGGAATAATAGTATCACACAATGACATGTTACATTCTGCAGAACAAAAAAAAAAAAAAAAAAAAAACCAAACTGTTTTCATGTATTTGAAACCTACAGCAACCAAGTCAGCTTACAGCACATCACCATGTAGGCCTCCCACTTCAACCCAGGGCTGTACAGCTCCACTCATGTGGTACTCTGCAAGAAAAGTTAAATCCCTCCCAGAGGGATACCTGTATTTACTTGTCCTGCTTCCTGCATATGAAAATGTTTCCTGAACAAATCAACAATACAGTGTCAGTTACAGGTAGCTGAGGCACCAAAGTACCAGATCAGCTGGAACATTTGTTCTCTTTTTCCCTGAAGATGTTTTAAGAAGTAAATATCTTCTGCTTAACATTTTAGCAGCAATAAGCATATTCCTTTTGCTGAGAACTAACTTGAATATTAGTAGTCAGTGATCACCTCACAGAGTGCTACTTTCTGGGACACAGAGGAATGCAAAGTTAGAGGGCATTTCACTTAGCAAGGCACTCATAAGAATGCATGTGATTCCGTGATTCTGTAATGTAATGTACCAGTAAGCTCTGGTAACTGCCCTAACTACCAAGCTACTTCTGTCATTGAGTGTTTCTCAGTTTCTTTTGAAATCCTTCAGAAGAGCTTAAAAATTCATTTTAAACAGAAATCTTGTTTCATTACTAGACTTGAAATAACTGAGTTTTGATTTCACTGAGTTAGTTCTTAAAAGAAAAGTGATAGTGTTGATCCAACCAGCCACAATTACCTAAATAACACTTCTCAGAAATGTCACCTTGAATCCCGTCAAAAAAAGAAACCTTTGCTGACAAGTACCCAGTGTTTAATTAACACTTCTGTAACTGAAAATACATGTGACATACCACAAACTTTTTTTGGACAGCAATCCCCTACTTCCATGACAAGGACAATCACTTCTCCTTCTCTTTCACAAGCCAGTGGTGGATCCTCATTGCATTCAGGTTCTACAGCAACAATACTTCCATTTTCTAAGCAGCTGTATATGCAACAGCCTCTCGTGGACCCATTCCAGATCTCCCCAGCAGAGCGGGGTTGTCCTCTGTTATCTGTACATGCTGAGAGAAAAATGTTGCATCCCTTTGACAAGTGGAGAGTTAAGACTGCAAGCAACAACGAATTTGTTTGTTATCTAGGTGACCTTACTGCTTAAAAGAGGAGTACTTCAGGGCATTATGATGAATCAAGAAAGGATGATGATATTAAACAAATGCTTTTTTATGGGTGAAAACAGTCAACAAATGCAGGGAAAAGAAGCTGCCCCTGCTACTCCTCCTGAGTACTCCAGGAAAGAAAGCCTGGGAGCAATGGAAGAATGACCATTATTTTTCTCCTGCAGAATTAAATTAGGTGAAAGAATAGACTCAAGCTGTAGCTTGAGATAAAAGCTAGGCTCTGTAGAATAGAGCTATACTGGATTCACACCTTCTGAAGTCTGACTTAGAATTTAAACATTGTTAACGTTGATCTGTAGTTAATATTAGCAGATATTTGCAAACCCCCTCTGTCCTAGTGCACTTACTACATTTTTCTTCTGGAATACAGAAGTCCGAGTCTGTTCTATGTAGAACAGTGCCACTTCTACACACACAGTCTTCCCTTAAATAAGAACACGTAGAATCTTCATACGACCACTTATTCAAGCATGTCTTGGCTTCACAGGGTTTCACACAAGGCTGGTATTCCTTGCCCTCAGGACAATTCAGTGCTGCAAGTTGTACAAAGAGGAAACTGAGTATTGACTCTTTCAAAATTTCATTGGAAAGTAGTAGGAACAAGGAAGTGTATCATAGAAAGCATACATTTATATATTTAGTGGCACTTTAGTTAAGCTACTCATTCAATCAAGATTATAATTCTAGTGATAAATCTCAACACTTGTACCATGCCTTACTAATACTGTGGTAGAATGAGACAGTACTTCTAAGAACAGCAAAAAGAAATGCATTTTTCTTAACCCATCACTGAACACTGCAGCAGTATAAAGTCACATTAGGATATGGAACATTGCTGTCAGCTTACGACAGTAACTGGGTGTCCTCCATTTAATGCAGATATTGTGCTTGTTGCATAAAGCTACATATGCAGAAAGTGCATCACACTCATAATTCCAAAAATAAGTACTGTTGATCCACATCTTCTCACAAAATTCCTGTGGTGAAACCTAGGAACACATTTTAACTGAGAATTAACAAGTAGAAGAGCTTTCTGTAATTAAAATTAATCATTAACTACAAGAAATAATACAGCTACAGGAAAATAAAATAAAAATTAATGCCTAGAGTAAATATATAATGTTTTTTTCCAGAACATTCATTCTGCAGAACTTAATCTGCCAGAATTTATTATTCTCCTCAATGTGTATGAAAGAAAATCAACTTCTTAATGGATGAACCAACCTGGCAATTTCTATGCTATGTCAGATTTTGTTATAGACCAGGCAAATATGTAATTTCATTGTACCTGAGGCTGTGAGAGTTCTCCTGGACACATAAATGAAGTATGATTTCTGACTATTCAGATTAAATTATTTCATAATTAGATACGTTCAAACAATTATGAAAAGCGTGCTTCTAGCACTGGTACTATTCTATTTTCTTGATTCCAAACTTCTTACCACTATTCTTTCCCTCCATCATTCCCTCTCATTTTGTTTCTGTGGCAGATAGCTCTAAAATCTCTTTAACCCATTTCTCTGGGAAGAATGGTCTATATTATTTCTAATGGGGAAAAACGAAGAGTGAGTTTGGGAGTTTTAAGGAAGGGGTTCAGCTGCTTGCAATATCTGTAGTACCATTTGTCTGGGATGAAAATCACAAAGAGTACTGCAAAGCTGTAAGGCTGGAAAAAGAGTAGTTAGAAATTATTCTGAATTAAGTGGGAAAAGTGGGAAAGTCAATCCTGAGGGAGATGGGATTTCTCATTTCACGTTGCAGATGTGTTGCGCTGGCTACCTCTAGTGGTAGCCTGCGTGCAAGACCTACAACCCCATTTGAAAGAACAGTTTCCAAAAATATATAAATTATTATGGTTGCTGTAAGAAAAGCTTCAAAACTGTCAACATAATAGCAACTACATCAGAAGTGGAAATGTAATTAGTACAATCAGTCTCAGACTGCATGAGTTGCTGTTATATACAGAAAAAGAGTGAGGCTTCCATTTCTAGTGACTGTTGTCAAGCTTTTCCTAAAAATATCTCTTCAGGAACACACCTGTGTTGAGGTAATGACCTGTTGTCACTCCTGTGAGCTCTGCCTACTCAGTGATTTAAGAAACAGCATAATAGCACAGAGATCCACATAAATGTCTTTTTCATTTTAAATAACAAAAACTTAGTAACTAAGATGATAAAGGGCCTGGAGCGTTTCCCATATGAGAAAGGGCTGAGTAACCTGGGTCTGTTCAGCATGGGGAAAAGAAGACTGATGTTTATAAACATCTATAGGGAAGTGGGAGGCAAATGGATGAGGCTAGGCTCTTTTCAGTGATGTGTAGCGATAGGACATGGAGCAGTGGCCTAAAACTTGAACACAAGAAGTTTCATACAAACATGCAGAAGTTCTTTACAGTAAGGGTGATGGAGCACTGGAACAGGCTGCACAGAATGGTTGTGAAGTCTTCTGTGCAGATTTCATGACCCATGTGGACGCCTACCTGTATGACCTATTGTAGGGTACCTGCTTTAATAGAGGGGTTGGACTCAGTGATCTCTTGAGGTCCCTTCCCACCCCTGTGATTATGTTATTCTGTGTTTATTTACAATGGACAGCATGACAAAAATATTTATTAAAGCCATCCATCCTTTTGTGAACTCTTGAAAATAAGCATAACATTAAAAAAATCTTCATCACTCTCACTCTTTTCTTAATTACACAACTTATTTAATTTGCACCTGGAATTTCTTTGTACTCACTTTATTGTGACAATGGATGAAGAAACTTCTGTTTAACAGTTCCATACAATATGTGCAATTATCTTCAGTACAGTTTCTTACTGGCCTCCTAGTTGTTACATCAAGAGATTTCTCAATTTCCCAGCTCTTAATGAACACTTCAATTTCCTCCATATTTGTAATTATGGTTCTGTTTTGCATTTTCAGATCATCAGTAGGATCTCCATTACACACCCCTGGAGAGAGAGCATCATGTTCAAAGCAAAAACAGAAAGAACCAACAGAACATGGCATATTACTTCCTTTGAGAAAGAAATGTGCATTTGATAAGGTAAGAATAACATTGCATGAAGTTCATGTGTGAGACTTAGCATCTGATTTTTAAGTCCAAGCAGCTACATGTCCACAGTAGTTCCAATTGTATACTTGTGATTTTATTATCATCTTAGTAAAATGAGCAAACCGTGCAATACAAATAATTGTACTTTTCCTAACAATGAACTAACTTTTAAGAAAAACTGTTACCAAAAGGTGCTGTTGAAGGTGAAAAATTTACTGACATGGCACCAGATTCTGTTACTATTCTACTGAACAGCAGCCAGCTGCATAGAAGTTAGTGCAGGTGGCTTTCAAAATAAGTGCACGTTGCTGACTTCATTCAGTCTAAACTGGACATTCTAAATGCAAGAAATAGTGAAAGTGAAATGAACCCTTTGAAGACCAAATTACTTTTTAAATTGAAAATGTTTTTCCTAATCTATTTATTAATGCAAGAGTAGAAGAAAAATAAAAATAAAAGAAAAAAAAAGCCCCCCTAAATGCCTGGCATCCACTCTCTACCTGAATGCATTACAGATTGTATTCAGTTAATTCATCAGTGGAAATAGAAACCTCCAATAAATATATAAGAAGCGAATAACATCAATCTTTTTAATCTTCACGATAGTGTATCACATCCCAGGGATCAGCCAGCATTTTCGTAGCTTTTTTCTACTTTGCTTCTACACTGCTAAACACAGCCCAGTCCTTGCCTTCATGCTTCCTGATACCCTCCAGGGTCCACAGAGGGCTAGCCTGTGGTGACAAGCCCTGTTATTCTCCTAGATGGCAAGGAGAAGCACAGAAGATGGTACTTGCATGGTAAATATTTGACAGTATTCTTAACAGTACTGTTTCTTTTTGCTACCTCAGTGCCTAGAATTTGAAAAATACTTTGTTAGGAAGGATTGCTTTCACACAGAATTATCATTTTACTCTTGTTAATTAACAGAATTTCAAAAGCCCACCTCAAATAGAATTGTTAGCATAATCACTAGAAGTCACAAAAGCCATAGGGATAAAATCACAAAAATGAATATAGAAAAGAGATGTAAATGCTGAATATGAAAACAATTAATTGCCACTACAGTCTCACCACAAAGTCCTTCTGTCATTATTGATGTGTTAGAGTGCAATCCATACTGTATATCTATGATGCCCGTAATGTGAGCCCACTTGATGCTAATACCAGCTGGAGTATTAACGACATACATTGCACCAGTATCCTGAATACTCAGTCCTTCTTTTGAGAATGGTAAGGATGGGATTACAGAATCCACCACTACCTAAAATAAACCAAATATAGACTTTAGGGATAAAAACAGATTACAAAGATTTATTTTATATGATGTCTTTACATCGAATAGCAGAAGAGATTTTATAGCCTCCGCCATATGCTGTGTCAGTAATTGCTGTGCTTAAATCACAGTGCTTCTTGTCAGTGACACTGTAACTGCAGATGAAATAGGCATAAGAAAAAAATAATGACATGGAAATCTTTTCAAATCAAGTAGTATCCCATACTTATCCCATATCATTTGGTTAAAATAATAAAAAAAAAAAATCTAAGCTCAGTTATTCAAAGTTACCTATTCTAATCTGTTATTGTCCAGCATAAATGACAGCCTAAATATTTATTACATCTTGAAAAGCTTCTGTTCTGTTTGATGTTATCTGGAAATACATTATCAATTATGAATGCTTTTGTAGCTTTTAAAAAATCTTTAATATCTTGAAACACTTTGAAATGTCATATAAGTGGCAGGCAAGTAAATCTGAGTGTCAGAAACTTTTTTTTTTCCCTAGCATATCACAAATCACTGGCAATATGAACTGCGGAAGAGATCCTATCACTCTAAGTCTGACCTACAGCATTCTACAATAGAATAGCACTACAGTTACCTCTTTAGTGTACACGTGCTATATATTGGTGACAAAAACTTACTTTTCTTTCTAAACGATTGATAAGTAGTTCGGATGTATGTGTTGTTACATTTAATTTCTTAAAACAGAGCCCTGAAGTGCTTGCAGGAGGAACCTTGAAAGAAAAGCAATGAACAAGTTTGGTTACAATTTTTGAGGAGGAAGGGAATTATTTCCATAGGTGTAATATTAACACAGTTTATAATTAGTAGAAGAAAAAAAAGCACTTACTATTTTTCTTATTGAATTTGCACTCTGGAAAACATTGAAAAGTAGATTAGAAACGCAACAGTAACTTCCAGAATTCTTATTTGGCAAAAACAAATTGACTGTTTTCTTTGTGTTTGAACGTTTTTCTACAACTAGTTTCCTAATTAAACTAGTATAAAACTAATTAAACTCAATATGTTTCCTATAAATAATAAAAAGTAATACACACAATGAATCTTTTAATGAACTGTTTTTAGAAACCAATGCATTTTTTATCAACTGTTAGATCCCTAACACAATAATTCCAGATACTACTACAGTTACCATGGAAATGCAAGTTTCTTACCTGATTAGCAGGACATTTTTCAATGTGAGCAACAATAGTTTCTCCTGGTAGCTTGACTAAAACGTAGGAAGCCATGTTACAGAGGGCTATGCTGTTTCCATCAAACGTAATAACACTCAGTTCAGACAGAACAGAACACTGACCTAAAAAAGAGCTGTCATTTAATGAGGTTACATAATATTAGGCATTTCTAAAAACAATCACTTTGACAAATGCTTTCATATGAAGTGCTTTCATATAAGACACTTTCATATATGTGTCTAGATGGCATTGTTCTGCAGACAGCATACTGAGCCACAAGGAGAAGCATCTTATGTTACTCTGTGCGAAACAGCTTAAATGAGTGCTTTGTTCCTGGGAAAGTTTAAATTGGTGAAAAATTAACTTATGTCAATGTTTCACAGGTAAGGATAATTAATTTCTACATTGTCAGATTAAATGACAGTGTATTAATTAATTTAATAACAATGTAATTAAATTAATTAAATATAGAAAATATTTGACATGCAAGAGATGCACCTATTCTATCTCCAGATGAATATTAAAAATTATTATAAAGGTTTCAGAAATGCTGCAAAGTTTTTAATACTACTTTTCTTTGAACTGCTGGTACTCCAGGCAGAAAGTCTGCTCCCAATCTCTATAGTTTCTAAGGGTCAGTAAGAACTCCTTCTGGAGCAGAGTGAAATCTGGAGGTTCTTTCATAAAAGGCTAGTATTTAATTTGTATTCTTCTCCAAAATGTTGACATACAAATATTTTCTAATGATAAATATTCTGAAGATTTTCAGCTGAAAATGTTTATATTCATGTTGCAGTTCTAATTTCAGTGTTTTTGTTTAAAACAAAGTTGACTCCTGAATGTTAATTCAAAGACACCAAAGCATTTACTATATTTCGTTGTGTTTTGCTGATGAGACCCAAGTAATCTCCTTTAAATTAATTTCTATACTCAACCTCATCTTTCCACTGTAATAGTCTCTCAGTATATCACCTAAAATCTATATATTAAGGCTCTACATTGTAAGTATTTATAAATAAAATTACTTACAAGGACATTCCCATTCTGGGCAACAACTATCATTATTAACTTGAACTGGCATTCCTCGAAAACCACAGTCTGGCTTCTGCACATCCTTAATGCAGTTCTTTGAAAGGTTGTATAACATCCAGCCCGTATGAACACATACATACTGGCTACATTTGTCGACAGGTTCAAGGTATCTTGGCTTTCATATAGGGAAAAAACAACCAGAATCAACTTTACACTCACTGTACTTACAAAGTATAAACAATTCTTCACTAGTTCATGCTCTGCTCTGAGACAGAATCAACACATCTATGTGGCCCCTCATATGTACTTGTCATCAGGTCTGGTAGCTAGACTAAAATACTCCTTATCATGCAACTTTAAATAAAGTACACACCAATACATGCTTTTGTTCCATGAAACACATACCTAGCAAGCTAACCATAGTCTCTAGATCTCTCCAAGTTAACCTGGTTCTAAGTTTAAAATAATGAGAGATCGTTAAATCAATACTTTGCCTTCCTACTGTTAGAAAGTAAAAGATCTCCAAAGAACCAGAACACTGAGGAAAAAAAGTAGCTCTTTCTCTGAGAAATTGAATACATACATACAAAAATATGGCTATAAAATAAATTGCATAAAATAAATAGAAATCTGAAGATAATTCAAATAGATGAAAAACTCAGGCTGACATGCCAAGAAGGTTCTGATAGTGCAGAAACATCCTACAATTTAGATTTAGAGTGTCTATACTGTACAGACTTAATCATCTTGCAGCTGTGGATTTTTTAATCTGTTATTTTGGAAATTATTGCTTATTTTTGATTGTTGCAGATGACAAGAATACACATTAATTCACACACAACCTTTCTGTTCTGTCTAGCAGTAGTGAAATATTCTATATAAAGTTTTCTGCATTGAGGATCTGTGTTATGTTCAGTAATAACTCAAAGCATTTTAAGAAATACAGAAGCACACATTCCCATCAGTTTAAACCCTATCACAAAGAGAGGAAAAAAAAAAAAAAAAAAAGCAGAAACACCAACATTCTATGGTTTCTGCCTTTTCATATCTCAGAAATATATTTTACTGTATAGAATTGCACATATCTTTAAAACCAGTTATTTTTCAGAGCAATGCATCTAAGTTACAGAATAGACCAGGGTGATATAAAAGCAGGGATGCTACAGGCCTCCAACAATAATTCATTTTATTAAATTGAAAAATAAAAAGAAAAATAGGAGATATTTAAAACCTCTGGTATAATATGCATGACATAATAAATCAGACTGAAAAGGACTATGTATTATGTATTGTATATACATATATTAACATTGTGGGGCAAGTAAAAGTGATCATACCACACAGTCAGAAGATGAAGACATCAGTGTATGCATCACTGTGCTGAACAACGTTTTGTCAGCTATAGTTGTCACTGTGTCTCTGCTTGCCAGAGAAGTTTGTGTTTCCACAGGGGAAGAAGAAGACAGAACCATTTCATCACTAGAATGAGATAAATCTATTAAAGTTCTATCCTGCAGTTCTGTGTGTTCTGTTAAATTGAAATAAGGTTTAATGGTAGTCTGTGTTAGGATTTTGGACCAATCTGATGTCTTGGCATCCGGAACTTCCGAGAGATTTTTTGCTGAGGTTATCCTTACACTTGAAAAAGGCGAACTCCGACTTACAGCAACTGTCAAATAAGGTAGGAAAGATTTCTCAGTTGTGGTTGACTTTGCCTTGGTTACATTTCTTTGTACATACGAAGTCTGGCTGCTTTCTAAAATACCTACGGTTCTTTCAAATGAGGTTACATATTTAAATTCTGAAGTTGCAAATGAGGTACTTTTTGTCTTTGATAATGGGCTTGTGGTACTCAATTTCATGACTGTTGTTTTTGGAGTTTCTTTACTGCTCTGTGAAGCTTGAGGTGGAGCAAATGTAAGTAAAGATTTGTATGACTCATACATAGGTGTTTCTATGGTAGTAGGAACTGAAGCTGAAGCCATATGAAACTTTGAATCAGCTAAATCATCTGTGGTCTTTGCAGTAATCCTAGAGTCTACAGTAGTGTCAGAAACAACTAATACACTGGCTGAAGAACTAGGTGGTATTTTTGCAAAAATATAAGGTGTTCTTAAGGATGTAACATTCACTGTTGTATTCACTATCATTGATGTAGTGGATTGAGTGCCGATTCCAGCTGATATGACTGATACTGTTCCATCTTCTGCTGAAGAACTTACTGAAGAACTCTGTCTTCCTAGAGAAATAGTAGAGATAAGAGCGGTCTTAGTAGGAGGTGAAGACATACTCTATTGGCTTTCTAAAGAGGCCTCTAGAGTTTTAGGCATTAGTAGAGAGGGTGGTATAATGATGTGTTTAGTGATGCTGAAAGGCTTGTAGAAGAGCCTATGTTTAAAATGAATGTCGAAAAATCTGCAGAAATTCAAAGTCTACAGCTGTACTTATTGATCTTGCTGGTGTATCTAGAGATGAAACTGGTGCTTGGGAAGAAATTATATTTTGTGATAACAAAGGTGTTCAACTGAATATGGAAATCAGCGAGTAAACTATAGTACATGAAGTCACAGAATATAGTAGTGATGATAGCAAGACTTTTCAAAAAGATGATAGCATTGTAAAAGAAGGATCTTTAGGAATGAAAGTGCTTGCTGTTAGTGTGACAAGGTAATTTTCAGTTCTGTGTGTTGTCCCTTGTTCTGCTTTTTAATTTTATAATAATATAATATAATAATATAATAACATAGTATTCAGAGGTGGTACCAGCGTCCTAGGAAGGAAGATTAGAGCTAGCAGACTTCTTTGGCTTTTTAGAAGTGAATGACAGTGAAAAGGAATCAGTTTGCATTATGTATCTTTATTTTCTATTGAGCTTGAGCTTGCTACAAACATATCATTGAATATTGTAGGACTTACTATTAAAGACACTGAAGAAGTGGAAGGTTCTTTATAAATACACTTTGAGAGAAAAGTGACATCTCCCATAGTTTCGGGAAGTTTCAGGGGGGTTATCAGGGAATGCACTGGTATAGATGTGTTACAGAGGACTAGGAGAAGTGGTTATAAGATTTGAGATGCTACTTGAATTAAAGATGCAGTAGAAATACTGCCTTTTATTAATGGAGAGGTCTCCTTGAGAACAGTCACTGAAATTTCTACTGAAGATAAAAATAGCTTTGGAGAAAAACTAGAGAACTTCTATTTAGTGGTACCAGAGAAGTTTTGGAAAGGGGTTTAGCTGTTTCAGAATATAAAGTTGTGGTTAATTGAAGAAAACTTGTCTCAAAGCTAGCAAATCTAGTTGTTTTAGAACTTTGATGAGTCATTGAAGTCAGTGCAGAAATGGGTGTTGGATGACTTATAGGTTGACCAACACTAGATGCAGTTCTAACAGACAAAGTAGATACAGGAGAGGTAGACGTACTAAGTATCAGCTGTGAATGCAGAAGTATGAGTCTTATGAAGGTATCTCTGCCAGCCATCCAAGCAGGCGAAGACAATTCAGAAAATACTGCTTCTTCCTTAGAATAACTTTCTGAAGGACTCTTACTCCTCACAGTTCCTGCTGGCAGCTCAGAAGTGACAAAAGATGTTTTGGAGGTTAAAGTGTTGAGGTAGAGGGAAGAGTTCCTTGCTGAGTGGTTGATACTTCAAGTGGAAATGGAAATACAAGGGAATTGGGTGTTAATAAGATAGAATGTGTTGGAAGAGGAATTCTACTGAGTAAGGTTGTTGAAGCTGCTATTGGAAGGGGTGAAGTTGTAGATGCATTAGAATTGACAGTATATGATGTGATGGATGAGGTTTGAAAAGCAGCTGGAAAATTTGTTGAAGATATAAGCTTGGAAAGGACAGAAGGACTTGCAGTGCTGTGAGGTACATCAGAAGTTTCCACTGTACTTGAAAATGAATATGATGAATAGGTGGTATCTTCCAGTGAGTACAAGTCTGTAACAGACTGTGCTGACATGTTCGTTCCTGCTAAAGTTGTGTTTGCCTTCATGGTAATTTTGACTGTCACATCAGTACCAGATGACTCAGTCCCTGAAGTTACATGTATAGGAGATGTCTTAGGAAATCTCTCTGTGGTAGCAACCGGATGAGAGATTAACAATGAAGGTTTTGTTCCGGCTGCTGATTCCACAGGTTTCACAGGTATGCCTGAAAGGAAAAGGCACATTTAACTGTCTTTTATGGTAATGAAAAATAGCAACATCTATCTTCACATAAGTACCATTTAAAGATTAGTAAATTAGAGCATCATTTTGCTGAAATTAGCAATGGTTTCTGGTTGCCTGATGGCTTTGAGGAACTCAACTCTCAAGAAGTTTTCTAATTTTGTTTGCAAATGAATAGCATATTTTTATTGTTACCTACAACCTTGAATTTGCAGAATAGTTTTGAAGCAACAAGAGAATTCTATGGAAAATTTATTAAATCTAAAATAGCAAAATATTTGGAATTAAAAACTTAGAGTTTTTATCTTCTTTTATTTCTTTGGAAGGCTGTGTAACGTCATACTAGCAAAACTAAAAATGCAATTAATTCAAACTTGTAAGTTAAAAAGACAGTATTAAAACATAATTGCTATGTAAAAAAAAATACAATACCCCCAAAATAACCAAATGATGTGGTAACTTCACACACCAGAAATTATGAAATAGATGTCCTGAATTTATCAATGGTGGCTCACCAACTGAAAAGTCTGAACTTTTCACCATAGCAGTATTTTTTCCATTTGAAATCTTCCATACACATATGACACATTAGTTGTTATACAGTCAAATCACAGTTAAGGTGAGTATGACATCATCACAAGTACTGAATTTTATAAAGTATTAGAGAAATGAAATAATTCAACGTTAGCTATGTCTCATTTGGATGTAGCAGATGCATTTTGAATGACTGGAAATTGAGCACATGTCCCAGGCGGCTCTTCTAAAGAAGGATATTCTGTTAAAGCATTTAATTTAAAAGGTAATAGAAAATAAAAGCAAAATATATCTGATTAAAACCTCATTTATAAGATTAGGTCAATAACATAACATATACTTACAGTCTTCTGGGTAAACACATTTAAGTGTGACCTCATCAAGGATCATGTTTTTGGGACAATATGGCAAGCATCCTTCAACCCTTTAAAATATTGTGTAGTTAATTCTAGATTCACAGCAGAAATACAAATCAATTTTAAGTTACTTCAGTTTGGTTAAATAAGATATTTGAATGACATCTTTTCTTTTTGTTTGTTTATAAGAATTCTGGTTTCACAGAAGCCAGAAACCCATGAAAACAGGAATCCCTATTACCAGGACTAAGAAACAAGCTAACACCAGTAGCGTGAAATCCTTCAAGTCATGCCAAGAACATCTCTTAGTATAAAGTTCCATCCTCTCACAGGAGAGGGCGGCACTCACCCTTAAAATTGTTCCAGGTTTTTGTCTCATGCATACGAACTCTGGAAAGATTAATTCAGTTACAGCATCATGAGATACTGGTTTCGGACGTGAATATATCATAGCCATTGAAGGGAATAGCCTTCATTTCATTTAATACCATTTCTACCTAGTACTGCCAGAAGTTAATCCCCTAAGCTAAATTCAATCCTTTTTATTCTTGCTCCTACTTATGTCGAAAGATCACATGCAAAAGGAATACATAACACAGAGAGTAAGAGGTTTTCACAATACTTGTAAGAGCTGCTGTTAAAATCTGGATGAGTAAAATAAATGGATATTGCTGCTGCAGTAATTTTTACAAGATTAAATTAATTTTTACAAGATTAATTAAACATACAAGACATAGAATAATGTAGTAGTAATATTGAGCTTAATTTGACTTACGGAGGAAGGAATTTACATGCTGTTCCTTCAGGATCACTGCATGTTTTAAAGCAAGGATTAGCACAAGATTCATATCTCCATTCACACATCTTCCTGTAAGGCACAGATGCACTGAGTTCTGAGGAAGAAGGAAAAGGTATTATTTATTGGCTTTGTAAGTCAATAAATTGTAAATGCATAGTCTTTTCTATAATGTATTTTGGTAATTTCAGAAAAATGTAAAAATAGAAAACTAAGAATAGGAATTCTCAGGAACTTTAATAGGTGAGATTTCATTCATTTATGCCATTTGAATACATACTTCAAATTCAAACAAGGTAAAAAGCATCAGAACATAAAAGATAAAAAAATTCTCACTTTTCACAGCATATTTTGTTTAAAAAAAAACAGTGAAACATACTGAATATACTGTTTGTTTCAGAAGCAGTATTTACCTCATTCATTAAACAAAAAAGATATCATGCAGTTCAATAACAAGACTTTAACATGCTTTTTTTGTGACATGATACATGCATTGTGAAAAAGAATGAGAATATAGTCCAAAGATAAATTAATCTTTGCATATGCAAGAATTAGAAAATTATAATATTTGGAGGTGGAACTCAAGACCAAATTAGAAGAGAAAATTAAAATGCTAGTTGCTGTTGTTGGCACAAGAGAAGTGCTCCAAAGGCAAACAGAAGAATCCATACTTATTAATGAGGATTATGCAAAATTTACCTTCAATACTAAAGCTACTCATATGTTTGAATTCTTCTGAATCATCGTACTTTGCCACTTTAATACCAGATGATGTGAGAATGATGAAAAAGCCTTTTTTACTGTGTAGCTCAAAGGCACTGAGCCCTCGACTCCAGAGGCCTTGGTGGTGGAAGAAGGTGGCTCGTCTTTGGAAGGAGGCACTTGCCTGCCATTGCTCCAATCCAACAGTTTCATCAGCATGTACATACAGAAAGTAGTTTGGTCTTTCAGCAGACTCAAGGGAAACAAGGGAGAGAGCTTCCACAAAAGAAAAAGTAAACCATTACTTGTAAGGTTTTCAGAGAAAACGATCTGAAAGTGAGATTCAATCTATATATTGATTAAGTGGCTCCTTAAAATAGCTGTTTATCAGAAAAGAAAAAAAAACCCACACAACTAAAAAAGAACAGTTTCCTATAACATAAAAATATTAGAAATGCAGAGTCTAAAGGAAACTTCAAATGATCACATAATGCAGAGTTCACCAGAGGGCTAATCAGATATAAACTACATTCAGCTTACTGCTAGACCTCAGAACAATTCGTAAGCACTCTCAGTTTTTGGATTTACTCAAATTGGGGCAGTTTTTCCTCAGATTTTGACAAACGTCTGACATTTCAACTGTAGCAAAATTTCTTTAGTAAAATTTCTTTTGTAAAAATTTGCTTGAATTCACCTTGATGATTTTTTTACCTGAATATCATATCCAGCAATACATATATCTGCATGCTAAATAGAAGTCTGAACACTCTGTTCTCATGATGAAAATGAAGAAAACTCTCTGAGTGTTTAAGAACTTGAAAAAAGGCTGACTTCAGATTTGGTTGGTGCCTTGAATAAATCTAGAAGTACTTTTATTCTGTATAAACACTATCCTGACCCTCACAGATAAGAAAACTTGTGTACTACACAGATATAATTAATATTTTACTTATAATTCACATTGCTTAGCTTATTGGACAAGTCTGAACTGATATTTCTATATAATATACTTTCTCTTTTAAAAATCATAAAAGATCTAATTTGTATATGGCAAATTGTCCGAAGCATGTGACTACAGTTTCAAGTTTTACTGTGAAAACAGCCCTTCTTTGTGTTGATTTTTGAAGATTTGGAATTTTGTCAACAAATTAAATTTCGTGACTGCAGAAAGCAATGAGAAAATATATAAAACAGAAGATGTATGTAGAAGAAAGAAGATTTAAACATCTGGTTGTACTAACTTTCACATTTTATGGTGCACTGAAAGTCACCAAAAACAAGAATAGACAAGAATTTTATTGGAGACCAAAATATTCCTTGTTTCAAAATTGTTAGATACGTATGCGAAATTTTCCAGTTTCCAGTTATGAAATCTAATTGCATTTTTCTGAAGAAAGAATTCTATCCATTTGCATTTTAAACATTCTAAAAACAGTTTTTTGAAAAGTCAGCTTTACAGCTGACTGATTTACCATTTTTTTTCTCCAAAGATAAGTATTCCTCCTCAAAAATAGAACATTTCATCCTTACTTATTCCAATAACTAAAAATATCCATACAATTTTAGTTCTAGAAGATGCAGCAACAATCATTCAGATGGTTTGAAAAATATGGGCAGACATTCACATAAACATTGAGAACACTTACATAAATCTTTATCTTTGAAAAGACCTGGAGTTATCATGAAACTGAAAAATACATTTCCATACACTGCATTTCTAGGCAGGGGAAATATTCGTCTACTGGAAATATTAGCTCCTATAATTGTATCATTTTCTCCAGAACTTGCCAAAATATATGGTCCTTCACCAAGACCTAAGAGAAGAAGAATCAAACAGAAAAACAAACAATTCTACTTGCACAGCATACATGACTTGAGCCTTAGCTGACAAAATATTGCTTTACACATTCACCTTACCTGGAATCAAATACATTTTGAACTGCAACTCAGTGCCTCAAGGTATTTTGTTGAAGTTGGCCTGTATTTATGTATTTGAGGCACTCCCTTCCTCTTTGCTTGATTTCCAGAATACAACAGATACAAAGTCCACATTAAAAAGATATGGCTAGTTATCTTCACAAAATAACTTGAACAAAAAAGCAACCTGGACTGCTTTTGTATAGTATTTAGTTTTCCACATGTCCTTACTTCTGTACTTTGGAAGATCAGCACTGCAGCTTTAATATTATTACCCAAGACATCAAAGGTATTCTAAGCTCTACAAAGCTATCAAAAAAAGAAGAAAAAAAAAAAAAAAGAAAAAAAAAGAAAGATTAAAGAAACTTTTTAAATTACAATACTGTAATTGAAATTTTGGCAGCAATCTTGTTCAAGGAGTTTCCTACTTCATCCCCTCCCACAAAACACTTGCTTCTGTTCCTCTGCTGCCCCATTTATTATGACATCCTAAGTGCTTCGGCAGTAAACTGATCCTACTGAAAAATAACCAGCTAAATTTTCCAGTCTGGTTCAGCACACAGTCATCCAAAAGTTTATGCCGATACAGCAGTGACAACTTCAGCCAGTACTGCTGCCAGAATGCTGGTGGCCTAATCATGCCCTAGACATCCTATAAAAAATTCTAAAGGTATTTTTGCTGGACTGGAAAGGGCCCACAGGGTTACATCCAGATATAACAGCGTCAGTCCTTGTCACTATAGTCCAGTAAAAGAACCAAGAGCAGCATACTTCTAAAATCTTGCCTTGAGTAATAAACAAGATTTGTAATTTTTGTGAAAGCTTTTAATCCTTTAATCCTAGTGGGAATAAAAAAAAATGAATCGCCTTCATAGCGTAGCACAGCTCTCTCCAGTATGACTTTCAAGAGGGAAGGACGTCTCATAATAATGAGATTTGGCTCCACTAGAACTTAAACACCACTTTCTGAAGAACACTGCAAGAAAATAAATACTGCTTCTATACTGAAATTATGCCGGAGCTCACATGCTTAGGAAGTTCACAAGTTTGTCACAAAGTGACCCCTTCTATAGAAGTGACAAGTCAATTACAGTCTCTTCATCCTTAATCACTGGATGTTTACCCTCACATATTAACAGATTTTTTCCCTGTAGCTTCAGCAAAAGCAGCAACGAGCCATAACAGGGAAAGTTTCCATGAAGATTCAACAGTTTGGCACCATACAAGACAAAAAAAAAATCAGAGGAGCCATCCTACACTCCAGAAGGTCAACAAGATTATTGAACACAGTGGGGCCACTGACCTCCATCCATCAAAAGTTTACGAAATCAGTTAAAACCACAAACATCAAGTCAAAGAAACATCCCAGTGGTTAAATCTTCATTGAACCAGAGCAATCTCTTTTATATGTCAATGCAAGAAGGAAAATCAAATGAAAGCAAGTCAGTTCAGAATGAAAACCTGTAACATAATTGCATAATGTGACAAATGTTTTCTTTCTAAAAAATAATATCAGATTACTTATTATCATAAAGATTAATCTTAACTCAGTATTACCAGAGATTCAGTATGTCTACACAATTCCTTCTTGAGAGGAGACTTAAGTTTTCTAACAAAGGCAACTAGTTCAGTGACGTGAAAATGTTAATATAAGATGTACAATGAGTTAACATTAGAGTCCCTTATTGTGAGATTGCCTGTTTTTATTTAAATGGGACAACACCCAAGCAATACATGGGATATTGTACAGAAAATAAACATTTTTAGATATGCATAGCAGAACAGAGTGGAAATGGTTTTATTATTGGAAATCATTTAACACAGATATATGTGACAAGATGTTTTGAATAACCTTGACCTCTTGTTTTTATTTTTGAAAGAGTCTTAACAAAAGGAAAATAGAACATATGAGTATTATAATTGATTACCAACTAATTGATTATTAACATATATTCACAAAACCGAAACAATTAAAAGTAATAATGGGTTTCCCAAATCATCAAACAAATTGTTCATGTTTTGACATCTCATATGCAATATCTAGTTTTCAAATGTTTTATCGTATCCTAACAGATATTGTAGTACTGCATCAGCAAACACAGGCAATGGAAAAGAGTATTTTTGTGCAGACTCAGTCTGTGGAACTCAAGAATGCAGGAGATGTGTTCATACACACTTACCTTCAGAGATATTTTACAGCCTCTGACTAAGCAGAAGAGAAGACTTTTATTACAAATGGGAGGTTATGTCGCAAAAATAGTCAGTATAGTGACATAATGATATTAAAAAGGAAACGAACATGTGGTGAATGACATATTTGTCACCTCTCCTTTCTAATTTGATCTGAAGGTCCAGTGAGACCAAACGATGGTGACTATGCAATCCTACCATAAGGAATGGGAGTCTAGAAATGAGATTATATCCGACACTGCTGGAGCTTACAGAGGCTTTTCTCAGCACAAGCTACAAGGAGGGTTACTTTCTGTGTGCATCATATCATGTTTCCTCTGAGATGCCAGATGCATGGTTTTACTTACAAGAAAGATGTTTGTTTCCATACTCCCCCTGTCTCTGGACATAGAGCAGAAAGATCCGTGAAAACTTGCTTTGCTTAACATGCTGAGCACACTGAACTCACATATCCAAATCAAGAATACAAAAAATTCTTTCTAACCAGCAAAGAGAGATACTACCACAGCATACTTTTTCACCTTTAGCCAGAATGAAGCAATATAAGAAAATTATCTCTTGGGTTTCTGTTTTTAAAAGAGAAACAAAATATTTTGGGGAAAGATAAATATTTCAGAACAGCATAGCATAGAAGAAAGATGATAGAAAGTATGCCAAAGATACCTTCCATACTCTAGAACGGCAACTGTGGGAAATTATTTTTTTTTAAGTGAATGGTGTGCAACTAAATGCTTTATAAATACAGATTTGTTGTTGGAATCAGGGAGTACAGATTCATTTCTAGCACATAACTAGGTAGCATGCTAGCAAACAGAGTTAAGTGTATTCAGCAATAACAAATACTTGGAGGAATGAAAGAGTAATGTTAAGCACTACATACCTTGATTATAATATTCACAGTCATAAGCTAAAAGAAAAAGGAAACAAGGATGTTGTTACTATAAAGTAAAACAGATCACTCTTATCTGCATCCTAAAACTGTAAAATTCACTTTCATGTTCTGTAACATATTCCAGCCAGTGACTTTATTTCCTCTGGCTTTTATTCAGGGACAAACAGCTGTATTTAAAATAGATGTGCCCAGACATCAAACCTAATTGATAGACAGCACTAATTATTCTGTATTCAAGAACTCCTCCCACCCTCAGTGAAAAGCAGAGTGGACTGAATCTCTTTGCACACAGAATTCTGGAACCCCTCCACAGAGAGAAGTAGAACAGTAAATGTAAGGTATTCAGCAGCTAACACATACATTGCTTGAAAAAAAAAGGCAAAGAAGGACATTTATTAACCACCTGCTTGTGTCATGCTTGTATTTTTGTGAAGAGAAAGGCCATATATACCCACTTCTCTGGGTGGTCTGTGGTGTGAGGCCATCCCAGGTACATACCACAGAGCGAAGGAGATCGCCAATGAATCACTGCTCCATGCTGGCAGCACTTGTGGGCATAAGCTGCAATACTGGTACACAAACACTCACAGTCCCCACCAAGATTGCAGTTACACGTATCTGTATGACAGTTCTTGACAAAAGAAGTCACATCAATCTGGAAAAGAGAAGGTGGGAAGGGGCGGGTGACTTGATTACATGAGTTGAACAAATTTATGTTGCACCATTTTCAGCAGGAAGGTGCAAGGAAGGATCGACTGAAAGAATTTAACACAAAAATTTGGCATTTTCTAAGATTTTGGTATAATCCTTTACAAACAGTATACTGCAAATAACCAGTTTGTACCTATGTTACAGACAAAAGAAAAATTTTAGTCAATGGCTTTTAACAAGTATGACTGTTCATACTCTCTCCACACTCTTGCTGTTAGTTGATTCTGAAGAGCACAAAGGTGACAGTTCTGCGTTTTCATAATGCAAATGCTGCCACCTATAGTCATCGTGTTAGCTCTGCATGAAGAACAATAAAATCAGAGTTACAGAGCTGTAACTCTGATCATCGAGTACTTAAAGTAGAAATTTGAGCAGGGCCTTGGTCAGGGGAAGCAAGCTTGAGCACACATCTGACATTTTACAACATATTCAACCTTCAAATCTTCATTAACTGAGGCACTCACTTCCCCACTCTAAAATCTCCCAAATTAAAACTGTGATACTGATACTGTACTTCTCGGTTTTAAGAGGTCTTTTTTTGTAATGTTGAGCAAGATCTCCTAAAAAAAAACTGTTCTCATTCAACACATTGATTCTTTAAAACAATGTTTCTCTTCAGTTTGGATTCATTTATAGACTCCAATCTGTCTCAGCTGTAGAGCATTCCAATGACACTCAGATTACACAAACACCGTCACAGCAACAAGGCAGCACTGAAACAGCTTCTCAGCTGGCAGTTGCTGGATGCTGACAGAGATAAGATGACTGTTATTCTGCCTTTAGTGCTTAGAGACAGATGCCATTTTACTTTCATTCTTTTTTCTAATTTTGGAAATAGAGATACTACTGGAGTGGGGGCATGAGCCGTTGAAAATGGCTATAGCACCTTAGCAGAAATTACCAAACAGCACAGTAGCTTCAGATTTCATCCTCTCTTTCATCTGCATCATCTTATTGTGACAAGCAGGAAGGCTCAGATTGAAGTTCCTTTTGAGTTTAAGAGTTATGGATTTTTTCTTTCCACTCTTCAGCTGCTGAATTCAGTGCTCAGCTGAGTACTGCAATCCATAAGTGCCTTCCAGCCAGAGATGCAAAATTTTGTGTCCCTTAAAATTGGATTTTCCAGCCTGGGCTGAATCTGAGGCTGTGTCCCAGAGCAGGAATTTGTCTCTATGCGCAGCAGCATCCTACACCACCCACACTGCAGGAGAGACTCTGCAAGGCAGCTGCTCTAAGCACTGTGAGACCTAACCCTTCACCTTCTATTCCTCCTAGCCTCCCAGAGTCCAGCTGTGCTTATTTTATTGCTTTATTGTGTTTCATGGTGGCTTTTTTTTTTTTTCCCTTGGTACCTGCCTGTGCAGGGAGTAGCCAGGTAGGTATCTTTGATAGGAAGTCATGGCACCTTCCTTTAATAAGAGCAGTTTTTCACACATTCATGAGTAGGTTGTAAAAATACCTGGAAGATGTTTGCTTTACACGCTGTCTCAAGATGGATATATGCATATGAAAATACCTGACAATGAATTAAAAGTCATGTTTTGCACCTGACATGAATTTCTTGTTATTAATGTGCTAAATTCTTAGCATAATATCTGAAAATTTTAATCACAACATAGGTAAGATAAAGAATGGAATGGAAAACATCTGTCTTTAAGACTTATTGTAATATAGCTTCTTTAAAACTCTCAAAAGTCCATTTTTATTTATTACTTTCCACTTTGAAAATACACTCATCACTGTGTTCTCAGGCACACGTTCAAAAAATTCTTTACATAGTAACCAAAGTCAACATCAATAAATCTCCTGGGTTAAGCTACTGCAACCTCCTCTTCAGACAAATTCCTGACCATGTTAACATCAAACTCCAGTCCTGAAAGTCAGGAGATTCAGCTGCAACATCTACTAATCTCATTTAGTCACAGAAAAAAAAAAAAAAAAAAAAAAAAAGAGTGAAGCAAAACATCATAGTGGTTCTTGCTTGCACAGGTGTTAAGAAGCACCTCTGAATACCTTTGGGAAGCTCAAATCAGAAAGAGACATAGATACACAGAGAATATATTGCACTGGTAAAGGGCGGACTACAAAGGAATAAAAGATTCCCACACAACTTACTGTTGTCCCTGTCCTGTCCAGACTGAGTTTATGGACAGTCTTGTAACTCAAGTCCCACACTCAGTCAGGTAAGGAGTAGAGACACCACACAGCAGAGCTTTGATACAAAGCAATTAAGATGCTGACCTTTTAAAAACACTGATAGCTTTGAAGCTGAAATCTCACTTTCCTATATTTCTTTCTATATTTTGCAGGACAGTCAACTAAATAAAACCATTTTAGATAAGATGGAAACACATCACATGAATGCCTACTTTAAAAATCCACAAAAATCTTAAAATTCAAGTTACCTATATAAATCAAAGATACGAATAATACCAAAAGAGAACAGAAGTCTGATTTTCCTGTCTACTAACTCATAACTTCCAGTTACCACTATAATGTTTAGGCTCCACTTCTGAAAGGAACAAGGAGCTCTACACAAACATAGCCCACACACATAGTTGCAAGGCTCTTCTTACTGTTCTCCATGGAACTCAGAGAGGAACGGCAAGAAGAAATTAATTGTTGGAATTTTAATATTTCCTACATGAGAGCAAAACTGGTTTATTTAATAAACTTACCACATTGCGACAAGGTGCGAAAACATCACTGTACAAAATAGAGCATTCCTTTTTGGCGTAAGGGAACTTGTTTTGATGTACCTCGCATGGTTTTAGTGTTTCATTTGGGCTCTTGCACTCAAAAGCAAACAAAAACACCACAGTCATTTCATAAAAAGATGTATTTGCCACGGACTTCACTACACTATGTACATAATATAACTCAATACTTATGTAGTCCAAAAACTAAAATAATGTTTACATTCTATTTTCTTTATCTTCTGCTTTCCCTGATCTGTTTTTATAATTGAAAACATTTGCACAAAACAGAATCTTTGTGTTTTGTTCTGAAGTACTAAAGTGTTCCTTCTGTCTGTTCAGCACATTAAGACAAAATGTTTTCTTTGTGACACATTATAATCATTACCAGAGCAACCAACTGTAACATCACAAACAAATACATGGTCCAAATACATCCCTGGTGGTTTTGTACTGACTTTAAATGGAGGCACACTACAGATGACTGTAGCCCTGTAAGTTCAAATAAAGCAGTGGTAGGACTCATAAAAAACGAGTCAAAGTTCATCATGATAACTCAAAAGTGGCTGAGATATAATTCCCTCTCTTTAAGTCTCTCTTCAAGAAGAAAAACAAGTGAACAGAAAAATATAAGCAAATGGCACTTAGCTCTAAGAACATGAGTTCAACTGAAAGCATACTCTCTTGCTACAACAGAGGAGCTCAGGAGACAGCAGTGACAGACCCACTCACAGTATTGGGGTACTCTGATGATGCTGTGTGGGGATGTGCTCCTGACAAGAAACCCTGCAATCATCCCACTTCTCACTGTGCCAATGCTAGCACATTTCCCAGCAGCAGAATTGGGTTCTACGCCTCCAGCTACCAATTATGCTTTTCCAGTGTTCATAATGCAAAAAAGATGACCAGGATACATCTCTTCAAGGGCCAGAGGTCCTATCTGTAAAGTGCCCTAACATGTTTTTATGGTTTAAGACTATAGAAGCCACTGACCTGAAAAATTAAAACAATATATTGTGGGATTAAAAGCAAAAAGAGAACTTCAAGATTTTCATGGAATAAAATCAAAAGCATTCCTGTTATACTTGGTTCTACAAGTATGTTTTTTAAGCGGAAGAATATGAACAGAGCTCGTCTCTGGTACCCTGCCTCAAACCCTGTCAACAGAGACAACAGTTCCAGTGCTTCATTAAGTGATAGGAGAGCACAAACTCCTTCTGTCCCTTTGAAGCCAAACCCAGTCCTCCTACAATCCTACAGAGAATTCAAGAGAGTATTGCTTTTGTTCTCTTTTGTTGATACTATTAGACTTCATATAAAGTATTTATGCACTTTATGTACCACCTTCTAGATGAGCGGCAGAACCACAAACATATTTCCCTTGCTTGCTCACAAAACTTAAACATTTTATGAAGTGTAGAACAGATCCAAAAGGGGAGATTGAGGGAGATAAACCTCAAAGGCTTTCTTCCAAAGCAGAATTGATATCATATTCTTTCATGAGGTGAGATATTGGTTCAATTTCCTGCTCTGAGTAAGGGAAAGAACAGATTAAAAACTGGGTCTTGCAGAGATCCTGATGGAATGTTTTGCAAATACTGATTTATCAGCAAGCTCACAAGGCTATAAGATCTTTCTCTTTCTTAACACGTATGAATAAGATAATTCTTGTGTATTACAAAACCCAGTTGCAGTAATCCACACTACAGCCTCCTCCCTTCTCTGAAATCTACTTTCCACTATGGATTGTGCCTGATGCTTTTTCAAGCTAAGTTTTATAACTTCCTCAGCTTATCTCCTCCAGACTGATGAATTTTAACTGTGCTGCGCAGAAAATCCCTCGTGCTTGTATGTAAGCAGGCAGCATCAGGGGGCTGATGACCACCTGTTTCTCTTCAGTGTTCAGATCCTTTTTACTTTCCATATCCCTACGCTTCCAACATCAGAAAAATGATAAGTGTTTCTAAAGCTGGACTGATTCTAAATTTTGAAAGCAAACTGAATTTGGGGTGGTTGTGCATGGAGCCAAGGGTTGGACTTCGTGAATCTCATGGGCTCCTTCTTACTGAGGATATTCTACGATTCTATGAAATCTGTAGAAAATTGAAATCCAGACAGCTATAATAAATATTTTATTTAGGGATCAGTGTATTTTTACATGAAAATCTTGGATGGTTTCATTTAAATTCAGTATATGTTTGTTACAGTATAAGACTCTACAAACATAAAAGTTCAAATATGTATCATGACTCTGAATTTAGAAAATCCCTGTTTCATACACTCATACTGTATTCATTTATAAATTAAAATTAGCAACTTTTTATTCTAAATTTTTATTGGACATGGGGCTTACCTGTCCTAACACCCAGCTGTCTCCAAATACCTGTGCATTCCTCACCTCCATGTTGTTTGAAGTAGTCAGGTCGTTTGAAGTGTATTTGTCAAAATTTCCACACAAACCTGCCAATTTACCCTAAATAAGAAAAAGGATGTATTTTTTACATATCCTAATAGTCAATAATAATCAGTTTGGATTATAATATTCTTAAGATGAAAAAGGTGAGTGCAACTGATTTACACTTGGAAAATATCTGACATTCTGCTATACTTACAGTAACCAATTACAAATCACTTTTAATTGTTATTTGTTTGCCTTTTTTCTTGCACTTCCTGAAAACTTAGTACTGTATCCAATCTGGAATTCAAAAGTTCAGGTGAATTACCTTGTAATTGTGAAGCTTGGCTAGTTGTTGTGATTGAAACTTGCTGCCTCTTTTTTAGATCACAATAACAAGAACATTCATAACAGCAGCAGTTATGAAAGACACAGTTGTAATACTCCTGTGTTGGAGCAAGTGTGCTGCTGATGAAAAAAATATACATGCATACATACACACATAGATACATAAACAAAATGATATACATACAGTAAAATACAGAGTTGGTTTTTGAGGGTTCTGTGGCTCAGCCTAATGAGTTGCTTCTATAAGGACTGCTGCAGACTGTATCTTTCTAACCTAGAGCCTACAGAAAAAACAGCTACAGAAAGTAGAAAGAGACTGAGGTACCTGTGCCCACATATACAACTTTTAGACCTCAGCCCCTTGCTTATTATTCTGTAAAACAGAATAATAGATATATTTTTTCTTTACTGATGGCTGATAAATCAGCAAATACGTGAAGTATTTTCTGCCCATAGAGACAAAAGCCTACAACAGTGTTGCTTTAAAAAGAGATTAAATGGTTACTGAAACTTTGTCTTAGATTCCAAAATATCTGATATTTTTTTTCTAGCATGAAGCCCTTTCATTTTCTTTTCTTTTACAGAAAAGAGCTTCCCCACAACACATAGAATCACTTCCGATATGGAGCGGGGATGCAATTACTGAATTTGCTTATAAAGTTACTACATCAGGACCCAGAGATTGAGTCACAGAAGCACCAAGGAAGATGTTGATGTAGAAAATGAATAAAGACCAACTGCGAAGAGCCTCATATTCTTCCCTGCATCATGCCCTTAACCCTGTCACAGTATACTTACGTGGTTTAAATGTCAGTTCTTGTCTAGATCCTTTCTTGTAACTCATTTTCTTAAATTTATACTCAAGATACAACACCATCCGTTCATCTCAGCAGCTTCCTCTGCTTCAGTGTTCAGTTCCACCATTAGCCTAACACAACCTGTGCTATAAATGAGCCCTCTTCTACATTGAGAGCTATGTATTTACTGCAGATTCATTTCCACTGTTCTCAGAAATTGGGAAAATACGTGAGGTAACTCAAATCTAATCCTCTTTTCCCACTCCTAAATTAACTTTGAGTCAGAGTTGAATCACTGTACATCTTCAAGGTTACAATGTGTGGAGCAACAGAGTAAACATGCACGTAGAAACCACCCCTTTCTCTTCAGGGCTCCAGTCATTAAATCACATCCTCAGTCATATTTTACCTGGAAAACACTAACAGCTGTTAAACTGCTATATCACTAGGAAGGCAAGTCAAGAAGAAAAGCTAATCGCAGCGATTCATGAAGGTACAACATTAACAACATTGAGAACTACATAAAATCCCTAATTTTTATTTTAGCTCACCTTCCATTGAGGTCCAACTGTAACATGCATCATGGTCTTCTTATCCCACAGAATTGTAATATCCTGTTCTGGAAAGTGTATCACAGTATAATATCCAGCCATCCAAAGCTGATAGTTGGATTTGTTTTCCTGTCCCCTCAAGGTACTCTGACAAAAATGGATATTATTAAGATCTAATAACATAATTCTACCACAGCCAATTAGTAATGTAAAGTGTATACAAAAGCATACTTTATCTGCACTGTATAGCTGAATCAATACTATTACTAGAAATGTTGTTTAATACTTTGATATACTATGTTTTGGATCATTCAGGTTTGCTTTCATTATGTACTTTGGTTTAACTTTCAAAATCAAATGGTGCAAAATAAATCTCAGCATGGTTTGACTCCTTGAGGTTTTAGATCAGTCTTCTTTGTATGAAAAAAAGAACTTGAAGAAAATGGTGAAAAAACAGTATTTTTTCTGGGAGCTGATGCTTTATCCAAGCCTAGACACTTATACTGCATCAACCCAGACTGGGAGATATTTTCCAAAAATATGTTCCTTTACAGTCATAACTTCAGAATAGTTGTCTTGAAAGGCTACCCAAAAAAAGAAAGAAAATAACTAACCTGCTTCTCAGAAAGTTCACTAAAATAAATCTCAGAGTCTCCAACAGCGATGAAAATATTCTTCGAGCAAACAATATCATTATCAAAGCACTTTTTGTTCTGAGCAATTACAGATATATTTGAGTTGTCTGTGCTCTGCAACATGAAGAAGAAATCATCATTTCACTTACAGATTCAACTGTGCTTTGTTCCTGCATATTTATTCAAGCCTCATCATCAAAAAACAACTTAATGTTTTCACGTCTTCCAAATTAAATTCAAGAAAAATAAAGGAACTGTGTTTTAAATTCTAAGCTGTACCCTCAACAAACTCAGATTTGGAGTTAACAGAAAGAACCATTGCATTTAATAGTGAGATCCTGTTCTAAGGACTTAACAAACTTATAGGATTGATCTAGCCCTAAAATAAAGGTCTGGTTTAGTCTTTTAAAACATGCTTATATGTAGAATCCAAGACTTACTGCACAGTATGGTTGTCAAAATTGAGACATGTTATTAAAAGAGTTTTATTTTTGGACCAAGGTACTTGAGATCCAGTAGTTCATATTTCTGAAGCCAAGAAACCTTCCATCTGTCAGTAGTAGATAAAACTATTTTTTTTTACAACCATCCATCAAAATTCAGAAACCCATGAGTCATGCTCATTGAAGCAGGGAAAGGTTTCTGCTGATAATTTGTTTGTGAGTGGGTTTTTTAATAATTGTTTAGTTTTTTAACTAAAATGTTATCTATGATGAATGATATCTAGAAGTATCATCTATTCTGTTGTGTTTTAGTTTACCAGAGGGCTGGTATCTCACATTCAAATATAAGCCACGCACTCCCAAGCCTGTATCTGTTGGCTTTTTTTTTACTTCTTTTATTTTACTTCTGTATCAACACTTGCAAATCAACAAGATGCAGTAACTATGCACAAGACATGAGAGAGCTATCTTCATAAAATTAATATGTCAGTAACAAGGCTTCTGAAAACAGTTTAATTTTCAATCACATTCAGTCCTACAGTCATTACAGACCTGTGACAGATATGAAATAAAAATCCTGGAGGTGGCAAGCTCTGTGTATGAACTCTGAGTCATTCAGTCCCATAGGAGACACTTGGGTAGTTCTAAAAACAGAACGATGTTTAAACTTCTCTTTTTACTCCCACCCTTCCTTAAGCCCTCTCTGAGAACATGACTAGCTAGAACTAATTGCAGATGCTAATGGGAACAGTGGACAAAGTGAAAACGTTGGCTCTCAACAGCTAGCCAGTGCTGGGACCTCCTCCTGGCTCCAAGCAGTGCTCTTGGAGAGCTCCGCTAAGCCACAACAGGAGGGATTGCTGCCCTAGTTTGCTCCCTCAGCACCTCTCCCCAGAGCTTCAATGCATCCCAGTAAGACACAGGGAGCACACCCCTAACTACTTATTCCTTCTGTGCTTATCAGAGTTCAAGAATGAAAAAACATATCAGCAATTGTTTCTCACCAATGAGAAATACTGAACATATTCCTGCTGCAGGAGGCAGCCTTTTTTTCTTTTTTTTTCTTGTTTTTTTCTTTTTCCAATAAAAGCTAAGGTGACAAGGCTGTTTTAAAGAACACTTTCAAATTGAAAAAAAAAAAAAAAAATCTGGAAAAAAAAAAAAAAGACAAAACCAAAGTGTAGAGGAATTTTTGGTGCCATGCTGAGGTGCTGCAATTTTGCAGCCCCGAGTCTGGCATGGTTCACAAGCCAGAGGGTACTGCTGGTTGGCATACAGGAGACTCTACAAACTCATGCAATGAGCATAAAGTACAGGAGACTGCTAGCAAGCTTTATGTTACCACGACACCTGGGTTTAAGAAGCAGGTGGGTTGTGTGTGTTTGCAACACAGCAGTTAAGATGGGTTAGGTAAGGATGAGATGCCAGTGGTAAGGGGCTATAAGACAGCTCTTCACCATTTAGCAGTGAAGCTCAGTTTAAAAGCAGTGGAAGAGTGCTTTCTTTAGGGAAGAGTGAAGTTCATCTGTCCTGTTACAACATTTTTTTAGGCTGCACTCAGAATAAACTTGGTCACTACCATTTTGGGAAATACACCGCGTTTTAATTAAGCCATGCTTGCTGCTGGAGTCAATCCAGTAATTACTCGTCTCCGAGTCAGATAACAGCCCAAAGCATTTTTGGATTTATTGAAGGTGATGTGGTAAATTAAAAAGGAGACAAACTCATTAGTTTGGTAGATAGAATGCAAGCCAATCCATCCTATGCTGGCCAAGTGAAAAGTGAGCAAGGAAGATACTTCCCTGCCATGAGTGAGTTCAGAAAGGGGCTTAGCTTGCAGTCTGTGGGTCTAACTGATGCCTGGAACATCATGGGCTGTTTTCATTGCAAAGTTAATTCCTACTGTTATCTTAGCCTCATTAAAAGAGGGTCCTCTGTGTTAATAGGGAAGCAATGACTTCACTGTAAGAAAAGAGATGGAGGGCTTTATTTTAAATAAGGACAGCTAATTCAGCCTAATTATCCCTCAGTAAAAATACACCTTTTTTGGCAATGAAGACAAGTCTTTGGAGCAGCACTGGGTAGCTGTATTAGCTTTGCTAATTGAAACTGCTGCCTGTGCCTTCTGACAGTCCAGGCCAATCCCTTTGGCTGAACAGCATCAACACACTCGAGGCACAAAGTTTTTGTGTATTGTTGGGATTTGAGCCAAGGGTAAAAGTTGAGTTATATTTCAAGTTAACTCTGCAGCAGAGAGAAGGCTGGAGACAGGGAATGTTTTGCTGACCAAAGCCAGAACAGGGAGTCCTGAAGACATGTGAAGTACTTCCTTACTTGTAGAACTGCACGTTGGTGTTAAATTACTGGAAATGGAACAGGATGGAAATATAGAGATGGGAATGCAGTGTGATGTTGTTTAGTAGAACTACAAGTAAAACAAACATTTAAGAAACAAAGCAGTTTTATCAAATAGTGCATATTCTGTATATTCTCTTTCCCTTTAGATCTTAGACCTAAGCCTAAATATAAAAACATATTTATGTATTATGTATCTCTTGTGGCTCAGTGCTTTCAAGATAAGATATGCTTTATATACAGACCCTTGCCATACTCTCCATTCATCTCAATTTAACAAAAGGGGTTCTTTTCCCAATCGTGCAGTACCAACAAAATTCAAATTACTCCATTGCTATGATGGTCTTCAAATTAGTCAAGTTCCATCTCTCTAAACTGTAAACTGTATGTGGAACCACATAGCTGTGCAGACCAGCCTTTGTCACTGCTGTTGGAAGAATGTCCGAGTAGATACTAGGAGCATGTCTAATAAATAGCAAGGTGCTAGGGGGCATTGTTGCTTTTCTTTCTATCTTTCTTTCTTCTATTTTTTTTCTTTTTTTTTTTTCCTTTTTTCTTTTTCTTTTCTTTTTCTTTTTTTTTTTTTTTTTCACAGTCTCTTTCCAGGGCAGAGTTGTTCTTTACCTTTTTAGGTAAAATGCACCCGAAAGGGGATGTACTACAGTTCATCATGTGAAACCTACTTACGCTGACAGAAACTAGAAATAAAATGGTTTTCCCACTGCAAGAGTATCTTCCCACGTAAATTACCATATCCAGCCTGTTCCAACTTAATATCAGTTTCTTTGTGATAACATGGAGTTGCCAAGCAACAAGGAAGACAGAGTCACAGATCTGGGCAGTCAGTCAAGGGCTCATTGTCAGTCCTGCTTCTCAGAACATTCTTTTTCTAGACTTCACTGCACTTTTTTTCCATATTCCTTCCTGTACAAAAAGGCATAGTACTTCTATTTTTTTTTTAAGTAGCACTTGGGAATGGTAGGGCTTATTTTTGATAGAAACTTTCTATTTCAATATCCCATTAGAAATTTATATCAACCAATAACAAAACTGTGCACCGCTCTGACACAGTCCCACAGTGCAGCCTGGGAGAAGACAGCTTATAGGTGGCTGTGTTTATTTTCTTAGAAATTTTCATTAAAATCTCTCTAATTCCATTATTGATAACCTGATTTTCCCTTTTTTTCTGTGTGTTTTGTTTCCTTCCGTATGCTAATTTGCAAACTAGGTGTCCACAAAATCTAGGGACATCAGAGAACTGGACAGAGACAGATACAGATCAGCCCTGTTTTCCTTTTCTTTTCATAATCCATTAGAAGTTTGCATATGTAGTCACATAAACAAACATACGCAATAAGATTGAAATATAATGTAAAAAATAGACATTAATTCAAAAAGTAGAATTTTCTTTCTTCTTCCTGCATATTTTAAGAGAAGCACTATTAACGCAACTCAGACAAGCTTTTGGAAACTTTAGAATTAGTTTGGTGGTTTTTCACTACAATCAGAGTTTCTTCGAAGTAACATAACATTTGAAACCATTACTTCAGCAAGCTTGAGGCAACGAGAAGTATATTAGCATCATAGGCTAATTTTAGTGAGCACTTAAGTACAGATACTAAAGTGTTTTTGGAGAGCAGGCAAATGACTTGGCACCCTACATGATCTTTCTCCACTAGTTCCTTGTGCCATTTTATAGGGCGGTTCATCTCCAGATAATCTGTGAAAACATTAATTACTCCAAACACAGTCACGGTTTACACCAAGAAGCACTTCTGATTGGAAGGCTTCTTTCTTTTTGCTCCTATGATAATTTCTCCTCTGTCATTTCAAAACAATACAGATACATTATGTATAACTTTATTTAATCCCTCGTTTTGCAGCCTGTTCAAATCTGTGTCATCAGTTTTCCCCATAGATTTTCAAACTTTGGAGCAATATTGTCCAAAGTCAGCAGATGGCACTGATACATGCTGTCTCAGTTTAGGAGGAAGTCCACATAAGTGTTGAGATGCAACATAATGGGAAGGGTAGTAAGTGATGCTCTCACAGGAAAAAGAAAAGGAGTAATATTACCTTTTTTTTCTCCAGATGTTCTGTATTTCTATACAAATATTTTAAGGCAAGAAAAATTTGGAACTAAGAATCTAAGAGCTAAGTTGCTCATGCACATGCACACAAATTATTTCATTTTCTCAATATCTGTGTCAGATCATGTTATCATTTGCAGTTAAAACATGACAACCAAACTTGCAATAAGCCTATGGGATGTGATACATTCCTACTACTGCAGTACAATTGAGTAAAGATGGAAGA